TCGATGATCCTGGAGGCGGGGGCCTATGTATTTGAGGGCGATCTCAGTCCACTTGGGAAGGTTTTCGCCAGTGGACCGAGCCTATGTCATTAGGCGGAGGATCTGTGTTCTTGGGCGCAGGATCTAAACTCTTGAAATGGACCTCCAACCACGGGGCAGGCCCTATGCATTTCCGACAGGCCTTTCTCTAGGGGTGGGAGGGGGTGGGAGGGGGCTCTGCGCTTGAAATGGGCCTCTGTCCTTGGGCGGAGCCTATTGTGCGTGTATTGGGGAGGGGGTCTTCACCCAAGAGCCTGTGCCCTTAGGGATGGGGCCTATGCACAAACAAGAGTCTATGTGTCTGAGACAAACTTCCCTCCATCTCCCAGGCCCTATGGCTAAGTGGTTAGGGCTAGTCTTCACCAAGGAGTTGGAGACTATGTTCTCAGGGTGGATTTTCTTTTCTTTTCTTTTAGGGGGCAGGGCATATGTGCTTGGGTGAACTTCCTTCTAGGGGCTGAACCTATGTACTCAGGAGTGGGGCTACCCTCCATGGGTCAGAGCCTGTGCATGTAAGGCAGGGGTCATTTGAACTTAGGAGGAAAGAGAAAAAGATTCCCTGGGGGCAGGGTGGGAATGGGTCGGTGGAACCTATGTATTTATGGATGGAGCCTCACTTCAGAGAAGTGGGCCTAAAATCTTGGAGCGGGTAGCCTACCAGAGGCCAGGACTTTTTTTTTTTTTTTTTTTTTTTTTACTAGAGAAGGGCTTAACTCACCAGGGAGGTTGGACGTGAAGCAGAATGCATCATAGCGTTCCTCAGCGTTATGGCGATATCCATAATTGCGCACGCCCCCATTCGTGCCTTCACCAGCCCCACTGCTCCCGGCCCCGCCACAGGGTTCCCGGGCCTGGCTCACTGGATACTGCACGGAGCCATCGCGCAGCCATCCTGCATTGCACCAGTCCAGGCCATTGCGCCAGGCTTCGTGCAGCTGCTCGGCGGACGCCAGAATACCATCCTGTTCAGCACAAGCTCGCTGTGCTTCCACGAAAGTCATCTTGTAGCGGCCTCCACGCGGGTGATAGGGGAAGACCACGCCTGGATGAAAACAAATGGGAACCTATCAGGGTACCCCACTTTCTCTGCACCTTACATGAACCAGAACCTTCCAGTTCATTCTTCTCCCTGGCCCTCGGGTCTGGCCACACATCCTTCGATTTATGCTTGGGACTTGTCTCTCCTCCTCCTTAACACACTTAATCATGCCTACTCCTCTGCTATGGACGGGAACCTTTGCTCGTGTTCTTCTATCCTTTCCTACGTGCCCTATTCATCCTTCAAAACTCAATTTTTGTTTGTTTTTCTTGTTTGTTTTGCTTTGTTTTTTTGGTTTTTCTAGACAGGGTTTTTCCTGTGTAGTCCTGGCTTTCCTAGAACTAGCTTGGTAGACCAGGCTGGCCTTGAACTCACAGAGATGCACCTACCTTTACCTCCCAAGTGCTGGGGTTAAGGACGTGTGCCACCACCACCTGATAAACTCAACTCTTAACCCTCCTCAGTTCCGATGTTCTGTTAATCCCCAAAAACCTGAGTCCTTCCCAAAGGGACCACGGAGCTGGAAATGCCTGTTCCTAGCGTTGGATTCCTCCACACTAGCTCCTGAAAAGTTAGGCAGAGTGTTGAGCTCCTTAGTTTGCCGGTATTTATATTTAAAGTGCTTCTGTTGCAACTTCAGTGTGACGACTCCGAACTTGTTGCTTCCTAGACTCACAGATGCCCAGTCTCCTGCAGACACCTCCTGGCTAATAGCTATCTACCTAGGGGGTTTGGGGGAATGAAATGAGAAGCTCCAGAGAGCCCTTCAGCTAAGTGGCTAGCAAACAGAAAGCATCTAAGGAAGCCAGCTACTATGATTTACCACTGTTAAAATGTTCAGAGAGACCAGTAAAATGGCTCAGAGGGTAAGGGGATTTGTCACTAAGTTTGATAAGTTTAGTGCTATTCCAGGACCTGTTGGCAGAAGGAAAGAATCCGCTCTGTAAATGACCTCCATGCAAGCACCATGGCAGATGCACACACACACACACACACACACACACACACACACACACACGACAAATTCAATTCCTTTGATCATGAGTTCAAAGCCAACTTGGGTTCCATGAAGCCCTGTCCTAATCTTAGAGCTAGGGTAGGAGAGAGAGATGGCTGGCTCAGCAGTTAAACTACTTTCTGAAGGCCTTTAATCCCAGTACTGGGGGTGGGGGGGTCAGAGGCAAGCGGGTCTCTGTGAGTTTGAAGCCAGCCTGGTCTACAGAGTGGGTTCCAGGACAGCCAAGGGTACACAGTGAGACCCTGTCTCCGAAAGGGGGAAGGGAGAATTCTTGCTTCTCTTTCAAAGGACGGTGAGAGTTTTCCCACATCGACCTCAGGCAGTGCACAACCACCTGCAGCTTCAGCTCCAGGGGATCTGAGGCAGGATGCCTTGACCACACATTCAAACATATACATATCAATAAAAGCTGTAATACATATTTTTAAACGAACTATTCCCCTGCCTAGTAAAATTTCTACCGTGCCAACTTGGTTCGGTTTATCCCACACTGTCCCCCATTTCTGGTCTGCCCACGCTTCGGTCACCTTCCAGGTCCAGCTTGACTACGCCGGCATCATCCTCTAGCTCATTGGTGACCTCACACTCGTAGCGTCCATAGTCCTGCAGGGTGACATTTCGGAGGACCAGGGAGGCGTCCCCGGGCCCGTCGTTCTGCAGCTCGGCTCGCCCTCGGTAGGGACCAAAGGCTCTGTGCTGGGTACCCAGAGCCACGAAGACATCGGTGAAGGCCAAAGGGTCTACCACCTTCGTCCATTTGAGACGGACGCCGTCGTGGTCGTGAGCGGCCGCCTCGTAATGGTAACGGCAGGGTAAGACGATGGTGCCACCACGGTGGCTCACCACCTGCCCGGGCGCCGTCTGCACCACCACGGAGCCGGACTCGCCCTCTGTGGGGCGACCAATCAAAGGTCAAAGGTGAGGTAGGGAGGGACCCAGAGAAGTGATGCCAGAGAACTGATGTAGGCCCAGGATAGAAAAGGAGCTCCGAAGAAACTGAGTGTTAGGGACCACCGCAACCCGCCACCCTACCCCACCCCGGTCGTTCGCTCTTAGCCACAGTCGTGGGGTGGGGGTAGAGGGCGGGGAACTAGAGCTGCGTACAAGACTCACCCAGCACATGCACGACTTTCTTTCTGCCACGTTGCGCTCCGGCAGACACGGGGACCAGCAGCAGGAGTCCCCAGGCGACGGCCCAGAGCGCGTGGGGACCGAGGGCCGCCGGAGCGCACGCCTGTGGGCACAGGAGCTGCATCCAGCTCTAGTGTCCCGACCCTCCGCAGCTCGTCTTGCCCTCCCCAAAGGGTCCCAACCTTGGAGCTGTCCGAGCGTCAGGTGACTCTTCTCGCCCTCCCCCAGGTCCCCACCCCCGCTACCGGAGCGCACGGGAGGGGGAGCAGCAGCCCGCACCGGGGCCCCGCAAGGTTATCCGCGCGCCAGGAGACTGCAGCAGGTGGGGCGGCGTGGGCGGGGGGGGGGGGGGGGGGAGCTGGGGGGCTGGGGACAGCTAGACAGGAGCGGGAGGAGGAGGGAACATTGGACTACTGAGCCAGGCCGGGAGAGACAACGGGAGAGAGACATGCAGAGACGGGGAGTCAGAGACAGACGTAGAGACAGAGACGGAGAGACGGAGACCCAGAGAAAGACGCAGAGACAGAGATGCAGAAAAAGACAGAGAGTCAGAGGCAGACTGGTGGGGAGAGATAGGGAAAAAGTAAGCACTTTCCCTTCTCCCCCTCTAAAATAAGCGGTAGACATTAAGGGGGGCAGAGAGGGAGAAAGTGCCAAAGAAAGAAGAGGAAAACAATAGAGGATGGGGGAAAGCAGAGAGGAGAAGGGGAGAGACAAAGGCGAGTTCAGGAACCCGGAGCAGCACTGTACTCACCATCCTGCCGCGGCCCCCGCAGAGCCGCCAGTGCGCTTCCAACTGCGCACGCGCACAACGTTCTGGACCGCCGGTCCCGCGGGCCGGTGCAATCCCAGCGTTTGCCTGCAAGGGGAAGGAGGACTTGGGGCCTTAAAGAGGCAGCGCGTGCTCACCGCGCCGGGAGTGGGGCGGGCAGCGCTGAGCTGGGAACATGGTGATAGTGACCCTGACCTATCGCGACCTCCCAGCCGTGAGGACTATCTTGGCCAGCAGAGGAGTCTCACAGGCCTCAGTTTGCACTCCATGTTTCAGTTGCCCTGAAAAGTGAGCCCCATTAGACTGGAGCCCAGTCCCTAACTCAGCTGTGCTCAGGTATGACCTTGGGTCAGAATCTTCACTTCCAGTCTCAGGCTAGACTGTGGATCCCAGTAACAGCAGTCTGTGGAATTCATTGGGTGCCTAACATGCCCCATTTGGTTATGCTGTACTCTGTGTGTGTGTGGTATGTGCACCTTTGTGTGAGTGTTCAAGTGAATGTAGCTCAGAGGTCAACATTTGGTGTCTTCCTCACTCTCTGCCTTTTATCTGTTTGTTTGAAACAACTTGGAGTTCACTGTGTATCGATGAAAGGCATGCAACACTACTTCTACCTGAACATGCCTGTGTATCGATTAAAGGCATGCTTCTACCTGAACCTGGAGCTTGCTGGCTCTGCAGAATGTTTCTTCACCCCTTTACCCCAGTGCTGGCTACTTCCTTACGTTGTTGATACGGCCACTTGCTTTTACACAAGTGTTGGGGGATTTGAACTAGGGTCCTCATGCACTTTATTGACTGACATATTGTCCCTGACCCTTTTATGTGTCGAGTTGTGAGAATGTCATCCAGGTTGGTGTCCAATTTGCTACATGGCTAAAGACGATCTTGTCTTCCTGGTGGTCCTGCCTCTACCTCCGCAGTGCTGAGATGACAGGTGTGCACAACAGCATGCTAATGTAGTGCTGGGGACAAACCCAGGGCACCGATAGAGCTGTGAAAACACTTTACCAAGGGCTGCATCCACAGCCCCGGTTGGGCTGTGACTTCCCCAGTGTGACCTTATGCATGCGTGTGTCCAACCGTACTGAGAGCCTCAGTCCTCCCGTCTGGAACATGGAGTTGTGTTTTCCACTGAGAGGCTGACTGTGAGTGTCCTGGCTTCTCTGTGGCTGTGAGCACCTCACATTCTCCTCTTGGGTACAAGAAGATGGTACGTTGCTCCAGCTCCCTAAAACACTCAGGCGGTGATGTCCAGGACATCAAAAGGGGCTTTATTAAAAGGATAGGGGGAGGCGAAGGGTAAATTCCAGGAGAGGGCATTAGAGTCCTTGTGGCTTCAGGGGTACAGTGACATAGCAAGAATATCTTGTCATAGGTCTCCTACACTCCTTTCTGGCCTGGATTGCAATTCTCCCAGATGTCCATCCGGTTTTAAAAGGGCCAACCCATTCTTGCAAGGCAAGGCCTGCTGCACAGAGGTCCTAGCAGAGAAGTGCACATGTTCACTGCTGCTTCTTGCCTTGGCCCTGGGGCTCCGAGGGTGGTGACTGCATGAAGAAGGCAGGCCACCACAGGCAGCGAAAAGCCAGCAAGTGTGGACCCAGTGCAAACAGCATGTTGCTTAGAAAGAAGGTGGTCCAAGTGTCCTCAGGCACGCGGTAGGTGAAGGGTGTGCGCAGGTGCATGGAGGCACCCATGTGTGAGAACTGTGCCTGTCAAGGACACACAGGAAGGAGGGCAGGTTAGGCCAGCACCCTCAGGCCACCACCCACTGCCACATCTTCCCTCCCCAAAACAACTATTTAGCAATAAACATCCCTGCCTCTGACTTGGATTCCATTCTTCCTCCTCACAAATGTAATCAACTCATAGAGACTTCCTGGGCCCCCTGCCTTGACTGGTTCTAGGCATTTTCTCTTCCTACCAAAAACCTAGAAATAGCTCTGAGCCCTCCAATGTTCAAACAGCTTCCATGGTTCCTGGCCTCCCTTCATATGCCTAGAGCCTGGAGTTCAAAGTCTCCAACATCCAGCTCCAATTTTTGCTGCCTTTTTATGCAGTTCGACTGCCTTCCTTGCACTTTACCTTCATGGGTTCCAGTCTTTCCACTCTGCAACTGCTCTCAGCCGCTGTTGCTCCTTCCCTCCAGGTTTCTGTTTGTTACATTTTGTTTTTTATTTTTTTGAGACAGGGTTTCTCTGTTTAACAGCCCTGATTGTCCTGGAACTTGCTCTGTAGACCAGGCTGGCTTTGAACTCACAGAGATCTGTCTGTCTCTGCCTCTTGAGTGCTGGGGTTAAAGGTGTGGTCCACCCTGCCCAGCTCATTAGTTAGTTTGTCTGTTTGCTTGTTTCCAGTGCTGGGGAGGTAGAAGCTATGTGCTTGTACATGTTAGGCAAGCACTGGACCATGGAACCATATCCCAGCATGATTCTTCCTAGCTCTGACTAGGGGGTTTGGAACTACTTGTGTGCTAGGGGTTATATACATCCAGCTATCTCCTTCAGACTAGGGAATTCTGGATCACTGGGCCTGGGCTCCACCATCACCACCCCACCCCTTACCTGACCAATGGCTCCGGCAAACACCAAGGCCCAGTCTGGCAGCCAGGAGCAACCAGGGAAAATGAGGGCATAGGCAGCCAGACAGTAGAAAGGCAGAGCATAGAACAAATACACCAGCATCTAGGGAAGACCACAAGCTGTGAGAACTCATGGTGGGGGCTCTACACCTGTCATACACACTTAGCTGCCCAGATGGTGCAGAACTCTGGCCTAGCAAATTGAAACACCTCATTTCTAAGACTAGTATGATTGACAGGGGCATGTGATTCAAGCTGGGCTAATCAGAGCCTCTATGAGACATGTTCTTAAATTCTAGCATTTCCAAGGGTGTGGATGAAACCCCTGAGTGCTTCTGGGACATGATAGGGAGCCTTGCTAAGAAGGCACAGCCAAGCCATATCTTGAGCACTTGGATCCTGCCATACCGGAAGTCTACATGTGCATCTGCCTGGCTGGCATGGGTTTCAGGTAACTGTGTCAAAGATGTTTTCTCCTCCCACCTATCTTCTCACCTGCAACTTTGGGTAGGCCACAGGATCCCGCAGGTATGGCTCATATTGGTAAATATAGATGAAGCAGGCGTCTGTGGGGCAGTCAAGTACCACCTAAGACACACAGATAACCACCATCCATCTCAATCCTCTCACAAGATTCCTCCGCACTCCGGTTCTCAAGCCAAGCCCACAGCAGCCACTCTGGTTCCTCTCAGCCCTCCCTAGTTCTCTCCCTTTGGTTATGAATTCACAATAAGAGAGCTGAGAAGAGGCTCTGGGGAACAGGCATTTGTCATGGAAACTTCAGGTCAGACAGTGGGGGACTTTCTTGAGTATGAGATAGAAGAATGTGTCTGTCCTTTTGGAAACGAATAAGGAAATAAATTTGGGAGAAGAAGGCTGAGAAGGGAGTCTGGAAGTGAAGGAGGGAGGCAGCCAAGGCAGACTCACCAGGCCCCGGAATAGAGTGAAGAATGCAGCAAGGACAAGGTACATGACGAACATCAGGTCGGCTGGGCGCTGTAGGAGGCCTTTTTTTTGCTCCTCGTGTACCTGGCCCATGTGAGAGAAAGCCAGAGCTAGCCAGAGAGGCCTGGAGTCTGGCAGATGCTCAGTAAATGCTCCTCTATGTCTTCTGAGGACCAAGGAGGCTCTCCGAAGTAGACAGTCATTGCGTCTTGAGCAGAGGATTAAAGCTAGGTCTTCTACAGGCTGAGCAAATGTTCTACCTCTGAGCCAAAGCCTAGCCCCTCACTGTGGGGTTCTAGGCCACTGTTGAGCCACATTTGAGTCCTTAGAGTTTTGAAACAGTCTTACCATAAAACCCGTGCCGACCTTGAACTCAGTCTCCCCAGTGTTGGATGATAGGCAGACCACCATTACCTGGCTTGACACAAAGCCTTTGATCCAAAGTCTTTCACAAACTGTGTACAGTGGGGCACTCACCATGTTGGGGGTGTAGGAGGTTGGTGCATGGGACTGGCTGAAGATCTTCACAGCAGCCCAGCATGGGAGCAGCATGTAGAGGATGGCGAGGAAGAAGGCAGGTCTGATCTCTGAGCTGTATTTACCTGCCAGGGTGGAGAGCATATGACTTGGGAAGATCTCCTAATGGCAACCGAGTCACTCAGGAGCCCCACCTGGACGTCTCTTCCATGGCTCCCCAGGATGCTCCTTGCCCTAGTCTAGCTGAGTTTAGCCTAAACACAGACCTGACACTTGTGAGGACATCTTTGTTTCCCATCAAATATGTCTCCTTGCTTAGCATTTACTGAGCCATTTAAACACTGGAACTTGTCAGTCTGCCCGACCCCAAAGACCTACTTAACAAGCTTTCACTCTGCCCCCAGGACCCACCCTAAAACTCTCTTCCTGTGTAAAGAACATTCTGGGAAACCCTTGACATCATGGGCCATAGCCTGAAGAGATAGCAGGATTAATGCTGTCTCCCCTTCACTTCCCCAAGGAAAGGGGGTAGAGGGGACCTTGGCTGCTGGCCAAGACATGAAGTTATTGGGTCTTCAGACATATGGAGGGGTGCAGTCTCAGAGGCTGTGTTCTTACCAAGGATGTTTCCTGGGAGGAACACCAGGAGGCTCATGGCGAAGGACCCCAGCCAGTAGAGCCCAAGGTTCCGGTACCTTTTCCTGGGAAGTGATAGAGGGGTCGCTGTGGGCCACTAACCCTCATTCTCAAGCCCCTGTTAGGGCCCAGAGGCCACCTTGGCTCTTCAGCTAGGTTCTTCTTGGGCTTTATTTATTTATGAGGATGGAATGTGGGTCTTGATCATGCTCACTATGTGCTAGAATGGCACCTCACACAAAGACAATAAGCACTGGGAAGGAGCTGGGCAGTGGTGGTGCACACCTTTAATCCCAGCACTCGGGAGGCAGAGGCAGGCGGATCTCTGTGAGTTCTAGGCCAGCCTGGTCTACAAGAGCTAGTTCCAGGACAGGAAGATTCAGATTTTCAATGGACTGGAGAGATGGCTCAGTGGTTAAGAGCACTGGCTGTTCTTCCAGAGGTTCTGAGTTCAATTCCCAGCAACCACATGGTGGCTCACAACCATCTGTAATGAGATCTGGTGTCTTCTTCTGGCCGGTAGGCATACATGTAGGCAGAACACTATACATAATAAAAAATAAAAACTTTAAAAAAAACTGGGAATGGTACCAGTGGTCCAGAAGATGTGGGTCTCCATCCAGTCACACCTGTTAACAGTCTCTGGAAACATCTTTTAGCCATCCATGGGTGACGTAGGACCCACCTGAGGAATAACTTCCTCCTGCGTTCCTAGTCTCCTGTCTTACCTCACCTTTTACGGATGGCACCAGCCATGGCCAGATAGAGCAGGTAGTGGACAGTACCATCCCAGTAGCAGATGAAAATGCCATGTGCTGTACGTAGGTAGGGCTCCCCCTGTGGGTAAGAAGAGAACTCAGGAGCATGCATGGTGGGGCTAGGACCACCTCAAACCACTTCAGTCTTGGTAGCTACCACCTACCTCCTTGGTGTAGAAATCCATAAAGCCCACCATGTAGCCATCTTCTTGGAGTGCAATAACGAGGTCCACCACCGAGGTGAAGGAGAAGAGCACAAAGACTGGGGGGAGAGGGAGGGGAAGTAGGTGTGTGGGGTTGACATGGGCAGGGCTAGGATCAAGTGCGCATGTGCTTAAAGCCAACAGAGTGGCAGTTTGGGCCTGTGTAACCCCAGGTTCTGTTCTTTTGACATAAGGTCTGAGTCTGTAGCACACACAAATGGCAATCCTCCTGCTGCAGCTTTCCAAGTGCTGGGATCACAGGCCCACAACACTGTACTTAGCTTTTAGTTCAGCTTAAAAGTGGACTTGCAACATCAGGTCCAGGGTGAGGAAACCAGGCAAGCCTCCAGGCCCAGGTCATGCATAATAGCATGTCATTCTACATATGTGATGGAGGAAGCACAACCAAGGCCTCAGAAGTCCCTAGTCTGGAGCTGAACAAGGTACCATTGTTATTGCAACACTCAGCACTGGGGGGTGGGAGGTGGGAGTGGAGGTAGGAAGATCAAGTCAGCCCGGACTACGTGGGAGGGCCTAGTCTGATGGGACTAATTGAGACGTAATTGGTTCTCTCTTGAGTTCCAGTTCTGAAAGAGGAGGCCTTGTGAGGTTCTCCAATCTAACCGTGTTCCAGGCCCTTTGAGTTCTATAGTTGAATGGGAATCCTTCAAAGACTGATGGAGAATTTTGGTTGGCCCCTAGTCTAGAATGGAGGCTTTTCCCCAGACAACCCTGTTTTCCACCATCTCCCAGTGACTCACCAGCATAGAGAGGGTCATAGGTGATCTCCCCATGAGATAGACTGTAGACGGCCATGAAGAGCAGACCCAGTATCAGCGCACTCATCAGCACTGCGCACAAGGGCCTATGGGGGGGGCACCAAGGGACGCCATGCTTGGGTGAGATCTCTTGGAGGAGTTATTCAGGAAGCACACCAACAAAAGAGAATGAAACTTGCCTTCCCCATCAGTGGCTTCTTGCTTAGGATTTTTACTTGACAAACTCCTACTCATCCTTCAAGACCCATGTATATATTGTTCCCTCTGGAAGCCCTCCCTGATTTCCCTATTCCTTTCTGTTAATTCCAGTAATTCCATCATTAGCCGACATTCATTCATTTGGATTTGCCCAGTTCCTCCTAGCTAAAGTCCAAATGCTTCCATCTGCTCCACCCTATTCTTGCCCAGATCTACCCCACCTGATAAGACAGGTCAGCTAGTTGCGAAGATAACAACAGAAGCCAGGTCTCTGGGCTTCCATTAACACAGCTGGATAAACAAACTGAAACCCAGAGGGGAATCCACCATCTAGCGTATGTCCCACAGCAGGGTTTTGTCCAATTCTGCACTACCCAGGCCCACATTTCATGAACCTAACCAGCAATGCCAACCAAGTACCCAATGACACTGCACAGAACTTGTGATCCTCGCCTATGACTATAGTGAAACCTAGCCAGAGGAAGGAACCGAGGTTTCCAGAGTGCACTTGGATCACTCAGATTCCCAGAAGACAGGTATTGCTGTCCAGGATTCAGACCTATGGCCAAACTCTTTCTATCCCATCATTTGGGTCCGCTAAACTTTGGAGTGAGGGACTTTCTGGACCTCCAGGGTCTATCTAGAGATAGAACACAGGGACGGAGTGGTCACTGAGTGTAGGAGAAAGTTATTCTAAGCCTAAGACAGAGGCGATGGAAGAGGGCATGCGTGCCAGGGGAGTTGGGTCAGTAGAGCTTTATCTTGAACAAAACTTTGACCCTAGGCGACTTTGGAACCTGCGCGGGGTGCATCCCTGAAATACTCATAAACGTCCCAAACATTAAGACTTCGTATCACTTTTCCACAGAACCTCACCACAGCATCCTCCTGCCTCAGTGCAGCGGGAGGAGAATCTCTGCTTGCATGGCCTCCTCCCAGACCCAGCTCCCATCTTCCCAGGCTCCACCACCCCTCATTCTTCCTCTATCCCGGTGGTCCTCGCGGACGAAACGTACTGTGAGAACGCCGAGACTTGGTTGAGCACGTAGGACAGCGGCAGGGCGCCGAGCGACATCGCTGCGGTCTTGCCGGCTAGCGGCGGGATGTCCATGGCAGCGGCGCCCCGACCCCGGCGCGGCCTCCGGGACGCTTGGCTCGGCGACCTCAGCGAGTCTGAGCTCTGGGGTGCCAGGGACCTGCCCCGCGCAAAGGTCACGGCACGCTTATCCCAGCGGCCACCCTTATCCGTAAGCTCGCCCGGCCCAAATGCGGGGTCCCGCCCCCCCGAGGCTCCGCCTTCCCCCGATCCCCGCCTTGAGTCCTTTCAGCGGTTGCACAGCCGTAGCCACGCCCCTCCCCACTCTCGGGGGCAGCACCGCTGTAGGCACTCCCCTTACCTCAACCTTTAGCCCCACCTCCAGGTCAAATTCTCTAGCGCAGCTGAACTGTAGCCACTCCCCCTCACCAGAGTCGACAACAACCACCCGCCCCACAACCTATTCCTTCCAAAGCTACTGCTCTGCTGTGGCCATGCCAGCAAAGGGTGATCCTCCCTCCTGTCGCCATCTTCGACAACACCTGGCTTTTTTCGCGAATAGTGGGAATTTCAACTCAGTTCCTCAAGTTTGCACAGAAAGCTCTTACAAGCGTGGACCATCAGGTCAGCTTTCTGCACCGTCTTAGACCTGACACACTGATATCATAACCTGAACATGGAGAAGGACATTCCCTTTTCAATTAAAGATGTGTCAGTGTGCATGTGGGCATCACTCCCCCTCTTACTCCTTGGCGGTAGAGGCTTGGCTAGGCTGGAAATCAGCAAGTCTCATCATCCTCTATGCCCCAGGAACTCTCACAGGAATCCAGTTGTTGTGTTCTGGAATTTGAACTTTTATCCTCATGCAGCAAATGATCTTAATTAACCACTGAGCCTTTTTTTCTAGTCCTAAGGACACTTTAAAAGGTTTCAAATTTTAAAATTTTGTGTATTTTGTCTTTGTGCCCATGTGCCTGTAGTGGCCATGAATAACGCCAAAAAGAACATTTAATCGCTTGGAACTGAAGTTAATGACAAGTGTGACCCTCTGTGTGGATGCTGGGACCTCGATCTTCTGCAAGAGCAGTCAATGTTCTTAATCACTGAGTCATGGCTCCAGATCAGGTTTTTGTTCATTGTCGAGAAAGGGTCTCACCAAAGTAACTCTGAGAGGTCTGGCTTTGAACTCAAAGATCCACTTGCCTCTGACTCCTGCGTGCTGAGCACACTACTGTGCCTGGCTCTTTAAAGTTAATTTTTGTGTGTGCATAAGATAGGAATGATAAGCATGTGCCAAGTTTCTGAGTGAAGATCAAAGGACATCATTATTCATTTTGCTAGGATGGTCAACTGGCACCTTTACCCTCTGAGCTATCATCTCCCCAGTCTGCTCTATGTATGTGCATATACATGATGCTGGGCGTCATGCTCTATTACTCTCCTCCTTTGAAGCAGGGTCTCACTAAAAGCAGAGATTTCAGCTAAGCTGGTGTACAGCTTCCATTCTCCCATTTCTGTTCCCTGCAGTGCTAGTCATATCAGGCTTTCTGCATGGCTCTGGGATTAGAACTCAGGTCCTCATGCTTAAGCATCAAACACTGCTATGCCATGAACATCTCTCCAACTCAAAATGAGGCTCCCCTTTATTTTTTATTTTTCGAGACAGAAGACTTCTGTGTAGCCTTTGGTGTCCTGGAACTCTATTTGTAGATCAGGCTGGCCTCAAGATCTGCCCGCACCTGCCTTCTAAGTGCTGGTATTAAAGGCAAGGCAAATGTCACCTCCGCTTTGCAGCAGGGACACTGGGTTTTTGTTTGTTTCTTTGTTTTTCCAGAGACGGTTTCTGTGTAGCTTCGGCGGCTGTCCTGAAACTTGTTCTGTAGACCAGGCTGGCCTCGAACTCAGAGATTTATCTGCCTCCCAAGTGCTGGGATTAAAGGCGTGTGCCACCACCACCCAGTAACAATGACCCTTTTGAGTTCCTCATAGATTCAAACCACTGTCACTCACAACCTGTGAATCAAGAGAGCATCATATTGTCAGGCAGAGGCAGGAGGATCTGTGAGTTACAGGACAGACTGGTCTATAGAGCAAGTTCCAGGACAGCCAGGGCGGTGCAGAGAATGGATGCTCACTCAAAGAGAACCCATGTCTACTTGAATAGACAGCATGATCATCACTAAACTTGGATTTGAGAGTTTTCTTGAAGTGACTACAGGCAAATGTGAACCCGTGTCTGGGCATGAAACTTTGGGGTGTCATTCCCATAGAAGGTCCTGGAGCATGAGAGGAGGGTACACACACCCCATGGTAGTCGTCCCGGATTCAGGAGAGCTGTTGGGCAGCAGGAAGGCTAGGCCAGGTGGGGTGTGGTGGAAAAGGAGGCTGGAGAGGTAAACTGGCAGCTGTGACAAGGACTCTCAACAGGTGGAGGTGTGGGCAGATCAGGGACAACAAGAATGGGATGGAACCCAAGGGAGTGATGCTAGGAGGCCACCAGCTGGGCTCTTGCTCATGTGAAGGCCTTGTAACCTTGTAGTGAGCACAAGTTCTGGCTTTTCAAAGACTCTTGTACTAGCTTCTGGTATGAGACAGTCCCTGTGACAAGTCCCCACCCCCACCCCAGCTGTGCCCAGGAAACACCAACCCATGCACATATTAGGAAGTATTTGGAGGCCTCTTTTCCCCCTGCCTGGAGTAAAGTCCTCACCAACTGGCTGGCCTACAGTTACTGGGACCTCAACGATGAGCCACACTGGGACTGGAGGCAGGACAAAAGGGATTCCCAGAAACAGCAGGGGAACAAGATGCTGGGCAGGAGAGCACTGGAACTTTAATGCACAGCACAACACTTGTAACAACAGAATGGGCAGAGATGGATGCCACAACATTCCACAGTCCCAGGATAGCTGATCTGAAAGTAGACTTTTTGTTTCCAGAGTATTCAGTAGTAGGGCCGTCTGGGGTTGTTCTGTAGGAGGCCAAAAAAATCAAAAGTGATAGTGTTAGTAGGAAACTGCAGGTTCCCCATCCAGAACCTTCCAGGGAGTTAGGGCAGGGGTTTTGCTGTCACCTCCCAGCAGGAGTCAAGGAGACACACACCAGGGGGTTGGGCCGGAAGCGGTAGGCCAGCATCATCCTCTTGCGGAAAGCCTCATACTCATCATCCTCCTTGGAAAGCTCAGCTGGCCGGTCAATGCCAAAACCCGCTCCATCAACTGTTGTGGCACCCCTATGGACAGCGAGCAGTCATAAATAGGGCCCAGGATTGGACAGATAGGAAAGGACTACAGGGTACTGGGGTGGGGACTAGTGGCAGGGCTCAGCATCCCTGGGAGAGGTCCTAGATCCACTCAGACTTGAGTCAGCCAGCCTTGAGGTCACGCACAGTGTTAAGACTTCACACCTGAGACAGTGCTCACTAGTCTCTAGGACCTTAAGTGTTCATCCCATCCATATGCCCCCAGCAAGCCCCCTGGCTGCACTTACTTGTTCACTGGGTTCTTGATGCCCTGGCCCTCAGTGCCCAGCCCCTCGCCCTCCTTCCAGCCCATCTTCATGAGCATCTGGTAGCCAATGTTCTCCACTGTCAGTTTGAACTCCTTGTACTCTGAGTAGTCTGGCTCTCGGCCCTCCTACAACAGAAGAGAGGAAGTTGCCTGCCATGGGGACTACAGCTCTTAGTTCTTAGCCCAGACTGGAACCACCCATGAGCCCTACTCCCACCAGTGGCAGACTCTACTGAAACAGATCAAGCTCTTCGTCTTACTATCAAGTAAACAGGGGCAAAGTGACACTGACAAAAAGTTCCACTGAGACATTAACAGTTTACTGCAAAGAAGAGCTCATGTTCTAAAAACAATTTGTGCTGAATACCCAGCTTGAGGACACCACAGTAGGAGCAACATACAAGGTGGAGCCCCCCAGCACTTGAGTGGCAGAGGCAGGATCACAAAAGATCAAGGCCAGCCTGATCTACAGAGTTGGGACTGCATGGCAAGACCGTCCCCCCGAGACAGGGTTTCTCTGTGTAGCTTTGGCTATCCTGGAAACTCTGTAGACCAAGCTGGTTTCAAATTCAGAGATTCACCTGCCTCTGCTTCTGTGCTGGGATTACAGATGTACTCCAGTGTCACTTGGCAAGACCCTGTCTTGAAAAGAAAAAAGAAAAATTCCCTCTTCTTTGGAGGTGAGTAAGGACCTCTGGAGGTATGATTTCCCTGTGGCTGGGAAATGCTGCACTGACTACCATGGCACAGGAAGGCTGGGTGCCTTCCCTTCCCATCAGCTTTCCCAGGCCTGAGCCCGGGACTCACCTTCAGGGCCTTGAAGGTCTCCATGAACTTCTCCAGCTCATCAGGGGGCAGGAAGTCACCGATGAAGTGCTTTCCCCGACCCATCTGTGTTAGCTGCTCTGCCCACTCTGCCCAGAGAAGAGGGAAAGATGAACGGTGAGAATAAAGTACTAGCAATATCAATGCTGCCCTTTGTTGATTTGCAACCGTGCCCAGTGTTCCACACAAGACCAGTGATTGCTCATGGAGGTTCTCCGCACTCAAGGAGAAAACAGAGGTCCATCTTTGGACCATGTGTCACGGTCAGGTGGTGCAGATGAATGGGATTCTCCCATCCCCCATGCCCCGCACACCCCGTGTCTTGTCCATCTCCATGCGCCGCAGCTGGTGCTCCCAGGTTCCCAGTTCACTGTCCACCTCCTCATCACTGTCATAGCCATGCTGGTGTTGCTGTAGTGCCTTCTCCCACAGCAGCTGCATGTCCTGCATGGCGCGCTTGTGCTGCATAATCATGTCATACATCTGCTGCATCTGTGGAGAGGACAGGCAGGAGCTTTGGGAGGATGTCTCCTTGCCCAAGAAAGCAGGGCAGGATAAGAGTTGCAACCTGAAGCATCCACATCCTGGTATGGAGAGTGGAGACCCTCAGTGACAGAGCAAGGGCTACAGCAGACGTCAGGCTACAGGTCTATGGCAAGGTAGGGCTGGGGGCTCTGGGGCTATGATCCCACCTGACCTGCGAGGTAGGATACCTTGTCCTAGATTCTGGAGGGAGTTAGGGAAAGAGAGAGCAAATGGAGATCGTTCTACAAAGCCCAGTCCAGAACACTGGGCACTACCTAATGCTGGTTCTGGGGACCTGTCAGGAACTCCTCAGGTGGCACTCACACAAGAGGCCCTTCATCATGATGCAGAGCTGAGTGCCCCACCTGTAGCCTTACCTCCTGTTGCTCCTTCAGCTGCTTCTTCTGTGCATCAGACAGCTCTGTGACACCCACCAGGCCCACAGGTTTCCCCTTCTCGTAACCAAGCCCCTTGAGATCCTGAACTAGAGGCAGAAAACAGAGAGGACAGTAAGAAAGTGGCAACCTTGTACCAGGGTTTCAGGTACCTGGTGTCAACTCTGCCCACGATACCCCAGGCAGGGTTCACAGGCCCTCTTGTCCTAGATGTTGACCTGGAGAGGCTCCACTGTGGTAGAGGCTGTCTTGTGTACTGGTTGCTCACCTCTTTAGAAAGGTCGACTCCAGGAAGGTTTCAGAGTCCCTTAGCCACAAATGTTGACACCAGGGATAAGAGAATGTCCCATACCCCATAACAGAAACTTGGTCGGAGTCCTCACTCAATATCACACAGCTAAGAGGCCCAGCAAGCAACACAAACAAACCAAGCTCTGTGCATGTCTACAAGGCTATCTACATGCTATCTGGTATAGATGCCCACTGGATTGGGTCTGCCATTAGTATCTGCCATATGGCTCCCCCAGCTTCCTTGGGGAAGACAGCTATCCTCAAAGCTATGGATATTTAACATTATCTTAGAACTTGACTGGAGCGGTACTGATTCATGGTGAAGGTGCTCACACGGTTGACAGAAGTCACCAAACATCTCTGGGAATGGAAACCAGGTCCTTACAAGCTTGTAAAACACACAGATCCCTTTAGGTTAATGGATAGGGCTGAGTCCACAAAAGTCAGCAAGGTACTGGGTGTGGTGACACACACCTTTAATCCTAGCACTTGGGAGGCAGATACAAGTGGATCTCTGTGAATCTGAGGCTGGACTGGTCTACAAAGAGTTTTAGGACAGACAAGGCAATACAGAGAAACCCCGTCTTGAAAAAAAATTCATCAGGGCTGGGGCACTGCCATTAGGGATGAATGTGGTTCAGGTCATTATGTTTGACCAACATAAATGAAGCCCTGGGTTTCACCCTCAGCAACATGCAAGTATATGCAAACATACACATACACTCACTTGCATGTCACTCCTACTACACAATCTACACTTGGCTCTTAGGCTCCCAGTGCGCCCTTGATCTTTGTTTGAGAGCTTGTAAGAAGGAGCAAAGGGTAATGTGGGGATCCATGAAGCTGAGAAGACACTCCCTTTTTCTCTGGCACTCCCTTTTTCTCTGGCCATCTACCAATGACAGGCAGTAAGTCCTCCCAGACAGAGATAATACAACACAATTCACTGGGATGTGAAACTCAGCCTATGGTTTGGAGCCTGTGCTGCTACTCTGGACTACAGCTTGGGTGCCTTCATCTTCAGGGCTCTGGATTCTCTGTGGCCAGCAGAAGCACTCCCCGTTGAGTGAAGGCTGTTTCTTAGCTAGCAGCTGGCACTATCCTGACACTCAGGAGTTTTTTAATTTGACCTAAGAACAGAAGACTCTGGGACTGGAGATTGGCCCTCAGAGCTAGAGTCATCTGAAAAGGGAATCTGGACTAAGAAAATGCCTCTGGAGCAGAAGCCAGGAGCAAATCCAGTCCTGGGAGACAACCCAGTCCCGAACACTGGCAGATCAGGACTGAGTTAACGACCAGATCCAGAGTCAGTGATCCCCACAAGAACAGGCCCAACTCCAAGCCAGGGACTTCTGCAGGAGGAGATCCAGACCAAGATTTACAAAAACAGATCAAAGTCAGCAGCCTAGGCCAAATTAGGCCTGAGACAGCACTCCAAGGGAGCAGACCAAAGCACAGGAGCACCGAGCTATCTACAGGAACAGGAGTAACCAACAGGGTAACTAGAACTGTGACACTGATTGAACCACGAGGAACAACCATCTGAACTTTGGAGTCACTGGCACCTAGAAGACTATTCAACAGAATCTCAGACAGTCCAACCACACCTATTAGAGAAAAAGATGAGTAGAAAAGGTAAGATCACACACTACGCCACAAAGAGCAACACAACACCAGTAAAACCTAAAGACCCTACAACAGCAAGACCTTAACAACCAAATATGGATGAACCAGAAGAAAATTATCTAAAAAATAACCTCAAGAAAATGTATGAAATTCTTAAAGATGAAATGAGAAATTCCCTTAAAGAAATGGAGGAAAAAACAAAAAATTGGAAGATATCAGCAAATCACTTAAAGAAAACCAAGAAAAAAAAAATCAAACATATAAAAGAAACTATCCAGGACTTGAAAACTGAAATAGAAATAATAAAGAAAACACAAGCTGAGGGAATTATTGAAACAGAAATAATGAGAAAAAGATCAGGAACCACAAACACAAGCATGAAAAGCAGAATACAAGAAATGGAAGAGAGAATCTCAAGCGCTGAAGATACAATAGAGGAAATAGACTCATTAGTTAAAGAAAACATTAAATCTAACAAAAGCTTAACCCAAAATATCCATGAAATATGGGACACCATGAAAAGGTCAAATCTTAGAATAATAGGTATAGAAGAAGGAAAAGGAATTCAACTCAAAAGCACAGAAAAATTAATTTATTTAACAAAATCATAGAAGAAGAGTTTCCCTACCTAAAGAAAGATATGCCTATGAAGATATAAGAAGCTTACAGAACACAAAATAGACTGAATCCAAAAAAAGAAGTCCTCTCGCCACATAATAATCAAAACACTAAACATACAGAGTAAAGAAAAAATATTAAGAGCTGCAAAGGAAAAAGGCCAAGTAACATATAAAGGTAGACCTATCAGAATTACACCCGACTTCTCATTGGAGATGATGAAAGCTGGAAGGTCACGGTCAAGCATTATGCAGACATTAAGAGACCATGGATGCCAGCCCAGACTACTACACCCAGCAAAACTGTCAATCACCATAGAAGGACAAAACAAGATATTCCACTACATATCTAGATTTCACCAATACCTAGCCACAAACTCAGCCCTACACAAAATACTAGAAGGAAACCTACAACCCAAGAAAGATGACTACACCAACAAAACCACAGAAAATTGATGATCTCATTACAGCAAATACCAAAGAAGGAGAGAGTAACTGAGAGCCCTGATATGGCGTTAGAGCTCTGGGTAAGACCTATATAAGTAATAAGAGGTCAAGAGAAATGCTGAGGCACTCCTCACAGAGAAGGCACAATTATAAATGCACCCATCATTAAGTGTGATGACCCAAGTTCCAACTCCAGGACACACATAATGGAAGAAGAGAGCCAACTCTATGGCCTTCACATTCCTGCCTTGACACACATTTGGTGGTGCACACCTTTAATCCCAGCACTCAGGAGGCAGAGGCTGACACATCTGAGCTCAAGGGCAGCCTGATCTACCTAGAGACTTCCAAACCAGCCAGAGATGCAGAGTGCGGCCCTTACTGACTCATAACATCATCAACAAATATACAGAGCTGGAGAGATGGCACTGGCTACTCTTCCCACCCAGGGTTCAGTTCCCACCATCTAATCTACACAGTGGCTCACAAACACCTGATACCCTCTTCTAGGCTCTGAGGGTACCAGGCAAGTATACATACAGGTGTACAGACATATATTTAAAACACCCATATACACATTTAAAAAAGAAAGCCTCCAAAATACATTAAGCAAAACTTGACAGCACTAAAAGGGAAAAAGAAGTCTTGCAGTAACAGAGTATAATGTGCATCTGGGGATGGAGTCTAGGATTTGCAATGAATGACAGGCAAGCTCTCACTGCTGGGCTCCAATCCTGAAGATGGCATTTCTAACAATGGGAACAGCACCTACACAAAACATCAATAAAGAGCTGAAGCTGGAGTGGTGGCAGTGGACAGCTGTCCAGCATGCTGGTGAGAGAATGCATAGACATACAAAACAAAAAGCACATCATGTGTAAGCAGTGGCAACAGACCGAAAGCTTTCCTGGTAAGCTGATGAAGAAGATGAAGATGCCTGCTTCTACCATTTCTTATGCCACATGGTATACAGGTCCTAACCAGAGTGATTAGTTAAGAAAGAGAAACGGGTTAAAGTGAACACCTTTAACCCCACTACTCAGGAGGCAGGGGCAGTGGGATTTTTTTGTTTATTTGTTTGTTTGTTTTGAGACAGGGTCTCTCTGTAGCTTTGGTGCCTGTCCTAGAACTAGCTCTTGTAGACCAGGCTGGCCTCAAACTCACAGAGATCCACCTACCTCTGCCTCCTGAGTGCTGGGATTAAAAGCGTGCTCCACCACCGCCCGGCAGCAGTAGGATGTTTATGAGTTCCAGGACAGTCGGGACTACACAGAGAAACCCTGTCTTGAAACACAGAGAAAGAGAGAGAGAGAGAGAGAGAGAGAGAGAGAGAGAGAGAGAGAGAGAGAGAGAGAGAGAGAGAGAGAGAGAGAGAGAGAGAAAGAAACCGGTGCAAACTGCAAAGAGATGTCAGACTTGATATCTGTAGAAGACAGTATCATAGACGGAAACCCACTCCAGTCACAGTGGCAAACACATCATACCAGCACTGGGAGGTGGAGGCAGGAGGATCACACCTTGATCACAGTATAAAGATCTGAGACCAGCTTTGGTTACATCAGAATTTGTCTCAAAAAAAAAAAAAAAAAAAAATGGAGAGCTGGAAAGTTCAGCAGGTAAGAACACTGGTTGACCTGGTTCCAGGACCTGGGTTTGATTCCCAGTACTCACATGATGGTTCCCAACTACCTACTACTACAGTTCTAGGGACCCAATACCTTCTTCTGGTCACTGTCGGTACCACATACATGTAGTGTACAGACATACATGTAGGCAAATGTGAAAAAACAAGAAGAATGGAAGCTAGTCATGGTGGCTTACACCCATCATCTCAGAACTCAGAGGGCTGTAGTTCAGAGGCAGCCCAGCATGCTGAAGGCCCTGGGTTTGACACTCAGCATCAAAAAACACACATATCATTTATCATTATTAACTTCTTCGGCCCTCTAAAGTCTTTTTGTTTTTGTCAGGGAAACATCAATCATCACGACATAGACCTGGTTAGCCCGGTCTTACAATGTAGACCAAGCTGGTCTCAAACTCAAGAGATTCACTTTGCCTCCTGAATGGTGGGATTAAACTATGTACTACCATACCCAGCCCTTTATAACTTTCAATCCTATTTCCTCACACTATACATATCCCCTGGAGTAAGACACTACTTACTACACTTTGCCAAGCATGGGAGATTACACTATCCTGGCATCTAGGAGGTAGACAATCAGGGTCTGGTTATCCTCAGTTACATGAGAATATCTCAAAACATTGTTCCCCAATCAAAAAACACAGTGAGACTGTTTCACCTACTAGGATAGATGTATGTATGTATGCATGCATGTATGTACAGATATATGTTTTGAGAGAGGGCTGGCCTGGAACTTGCAATTGCCCTGATGTAGCTTTCTGAGTGCTGGGATAATAGGGCTATGCCACCAAGCCTGGCTCTAGGTTATGTCAGTCCACAAAAGAGGCACTGATAGTGACAGGGCTTTGATGTTTGTGTGGGTCCTGGACCCAATTCCCACTGGAGACTCAGGGCCAATTCTGCTTGCATGCGTGTGATGTGGAATTCCCCTCTGTATGCTGTAATTACCATTGATTAATAAAGAACTGTCTTGGACCTGTGCAGAGCAGAGTAGAGCTAGGCAGGGAAAACTAAACTGAATGCTGGGAGAAAGAAAGCTGAGTCAATTAGAAGCCATGGAGCCCCACTGGAGACAGATGCTGGAACTTTACCCGGTAAGTCACAGCCATGTGGCGATACACGGATTAATAGAAATGGGTTAAATTGATATATAAGAGTTAGCCAATAAAAAGTCAGAGTTAATGGTCCAAGCAGTGATTTAATTAATACAGTTTCTGTGTGGTTATTTCAGGTCTGAGCTGCCTGGCGGTAGGGAAATGAACTAGTAGCCTCTTACTACATGCATGTCTATAAACAAATAGCCCAGAGCATCCAGTCACAGGAGTGAAATCGTGGCCCAGGCTCTGACATGACCCCTAAAACCAACAAGACAAGGTAGCCCACCTGACAGAGGTGAAGGCGAGGCATCTATGTCCCTCTGTGCCAGTTCGGCAGGTGGCAGTTCCACTTTGTCCTCTTCAGGCCCCCATCGACTCTTCCGCTTCCTCTTCACAGTAGCTGATGTGTTGGGCTTCCCAAGGATGGATGGAGTGGGGTTGATGGCAGGTGCTGGGGTCACTGGAGTGGGGCAGGCAGTGTTGGGGGGCACAGCTCCTGACAGGGTTTCAGGAGCAGATTTGCGTCGTAAGCTGGGGTTAGGAGCAGGGAGGGAGCCCGCAGAGCCTGTTTTGGCTTTCCGAAATTCCTCCAGCTTTTGCCGGTAGTATCTGTACCCCTGGCTGTTGGGATCATAGAGAAAACTGCAAAGGAAAGTAGGGAAACAACACAGGTGGGTTGAGATCTGGCCTTCCTTACTGGGGTTAGAGTAGATCAGATTGTATGCAGTCAGGGTTGCTGGAGTCACTGTTCAGTATTGCAAGCCTGAATTAGGCCCCCTTCAGTAATAGAGGCTCATGCTGGGGTGTGATAGGCACCCTCAGATCCTCCCCAGTAGACCAGTGACCTTACATCAGAAAATTCTGAGCTACTGGAAGACCTTCGGTACCCTTCCTTCAAATTCAGCCATATCTCCATTGCACCCTGTGGGCTGACAGTGAAGGACACAGGTTCTGGGTTCCAGCCCCATCCTGATGGTAAGTAAGTGACTCAGGGACAGAAGTACTCATCCCCTAAAAGTTGAAGACAGAAAGCTCATCCTTTCTCCTGAGCCAGATGGGAATACAGAAGGACTGAAGCAACAAAGACCTCAGCTCTTCTCCAGTGCCTGCTTCTCTGACAGGGAAGAATGGAATGACCTGACCCAGTGTTCCCAGTTTCATGTGGCAAATACCAAGAAAGACTCAGCTATACATACACACAGTACAAGGGACTGGACCTGCACCCATGAACCTGGAGGTTGGTCCTAATGGGGCTGTACCCCACAAGAGAGCTGTGGGCCCTAGTCCTCCAGGGGCTGCCTGAGGCCTGCTGCTACCTAACTCTCTGTGCTCAGTCTCTCCCATAAACAATGTAGATTTGCACAGAGCCTATGCATACCCATCTGAGGGCAGAAAACAGCTCCAAGTGACTGAGAATGCCTTAAACAATGGAAGCAAAGCTGTCCTCTCCTGTTTAGGAAAGGACTGTAGTCTGTACACATGGCACCAAGGCAGTGTGCCTTTGAATATTTTCTTTATTTTTTATTATTATTTATTTATTCATTTATAAAAAATTTCCACTTCCTCCCCTCCTCCCAATACCCTCCCATTCCCCCCACTCCTTCTCCAGTCCTAAGAGCAGTTAGGGTTTCCTGTCCTGTGGGAAGTTCAAGTTGCCTTTGAATATTTTCACCACGTGTCTTGCAAAATGCTTAGTGGTGCATCAGAGGACACAGGAGCTGACAGCACCAGGTCAGATACTGAAGCTTCCTTTTGCATAAGCGAGAACCTCTCACAAAGTCCCATAGACTCAGTGTGTGTGTCCACATGAGGCTTAGGAAAAGCTAGAAAAAGTTTGCTAACTGCCAAGTGGGTGGTATCTTCTTTGTATTACTAGGTTACTGTATAAGAAGGACCATGTAGTCGGGCGGTGGTGGTGCATGCCTTTAACCCCAGCACTCAGGAGGCAGAGGCAGGTGGATGGATCTCTTTGAGTTCGAGGCCAGCCTGGGCTACAAGAGCTAGTTCCAGGACAGGCTCCAAAGCTACAGAGAAACCCTATCTCGAAAAAACAAAAAAACAAAACAAAACAAAACACCAAAAAAATAAATAAAGCACCAAAAAACAAAAACTGAACTGAGCATGCCAGAAACTGGCTCACAAAGAAGAGGCCTGCTGCCTTTCAGCAACTGTGCAGACATTAGTCTCTGAGGTTGAATGCTAGATCATAACTGACATTTTTGTTTTATGAGGTAGATCCTTGTTATATAGCCCAGGCTGACTTTGAACTCACCAATGATCCTCCTGCCTCAGCCTCCTGAATGCTGGTTTGTTACTTCTGTACCATCACTTCAGATGACATATCTGACATGTTTTTTGGGGCACAGCTTAGCAGTGTGTTGGCTTGCCCAAAGAACATGCCTTTGGCCTCCTGACACATGGGATCTTTTCCTTTGTTTGAGACAGGTCTCACTCTGTAGCCATGGCTAGCCTAAACTCATAGATTCACCTGCCTCTGTCCTCCTAAGTGTTAGAAATAAAGGCTTGCACCACCACATCCAACTTTCAAAGCATTTTTTTTTCCCATTTTTGGTTTTTGAAGACAGGGTTTCTCAGTGTAGCCTGGCTGTCCTGCAACCCTCTAGACTAGGCTGGCTTCAAACTCACAGAGAAATCTGCCTACCTCTGCCCCCAAAGTTCTGGGATTAAAGGCATGCCATCATGGAGACTACAAAGTATTTAACCAGGCTACAGGATGCACAAGGTATGCTGGCCACATCAGGGACCAGTAGTGATGGGCACACCCTCTAAGACAGGAATGAAGGGAAAATGCAGGGAAGTGCCACTGTCTACCTGGCAAGTCTGGGCTTCATGGATAGCTCACATTTAATCAAGTGTGATGACTAGTTTTCATTATCAACTGGATACAATCTAGAATCATTTGGGAAGGGAGTCTCACTGAGGAACTGTCTGGATCAGGTTGACCTGTGGGCATGTCTATGAAGGGTTATCTTGACTTTGGTAATTGAAATGGGAAGAACTACCTATTGTATAAGAGAGCAGAAAAAGTAGGCTGACCACTGGCAAGTATGCATTTATTCTTTGTGCTCTTGACTGTGGCTGTGACTAGCTACTTTAAGTTACCGCCACCTCTCCCTATAAAAGACTGTAACCTGGAACTAAGAACCAAAATAATCCTTTTCTCTTTGCTTGCTTTGCTGAGGGAACATTTCATGGTAGCTAGAAACAAAGCTAAGACAGCAAGTGAGACTGAACTGTCCATGTCATGCGAACTCACATACCTTGTGAGTGACAGACAACAAACGCACCATTCCTTCCCCAGTCTGGGGAGTCACAGGGATGAGAGTGGGATAGTCTCCTGTCAGCCACCCCACATCCCAGGTACCCACACACTTTTAGCCCAGTGTCAATGAGTTATCCTAAGGCAGATCCTTCAGGCAAAGAGCCAGGCAGTAGGTTCAGGTAATTGGTAATCTGAACCAATTATACCTAAGTGAAAAGCTGGGTGGGTGGGGCTGGACATTGACTTCCTGAGAGGCAGGAGCTCAGAATAAATTCCTACCACTCTGTCCAGTTGTCTTGTGCCAGACAGACTTCCACAGAAAATAGAACATGAAAGTCAATGAGTTCTCATTAAAATGAGCTCAATAGATAACTTTTAAAAAGATTGTGTGTGGTGGTGTACACCTGTCTCAGTAGATGTCTCAGTAGTAGACTGAGGTAGAAGAAGGAACTCCAGGGCAATCCTCACTACAGAGCTAGAGTTTGCTGGTTCCTTTCAGCTCCACAGCATACTGCCCTTCAGACTACAGAGCAGATGGCACAATGAATCTAAACCTCAGGCTTGTGTATCAGCTTATGGGCAGGTCCGCTAGTACCCAGCCCTCTTTAGTTCCCACTCCTCACACCTTGAGACTCCTGTTCCCTACTGCTACCTCATCATAAAAGGCATCCCACGAACTCATCCAATATAAACCTTTGTGAGCCACGAGCCCATCCTGTCCTCAGCAAGCAAATGCCATCCGTCACAGAACAAGGTAAATGCTAGATTGTCTGTAAGACACACTGGAGAAAGAGACAAGTATGCCTGCTCAGACACCACTCAAAAACATACCCATGAGCTCTGGAGTCAGAAACTCCCAGGCTAGCCTAGTGTGGTGGTGCACGCCTTTAATCCTAGCACTCAGGGGGTAGAGGCGGGAGAATCTCTTGAGTTCCAGGCTAGCCTGGTCTACACAGTGAGTTCCAGGACAGCCAAGGGTACAACAGTAAGACCTTGTCTAATAAAAAACATAAAGGAAAAAAAAAAAACAAAACAAAAACAAAACAAAAAAAAAAAACAAAACGTGTCCTTCACCTGCCTGGGACACGGCCAAGGTGAGCCTTTCTAAGGAGTTGACTTTAAAACATCCACCACAGGGTTAACATTCTGAACACCTGGTCCCTTTAAGGCTCTGGAAGGCTCCGGCCCTTTAAGGCTCTGGAAGGAGCCTTCAGAAGTGTTCACCAGAGGCCCTCTGAGGGCCACAGTCTGGCCCCTAACCCAAGTGCTCTCTGCTTCCTAGCCAGAGGAGATATCAGGATCCACTGCCGACACACTAGCTAATACAAACCCTCCCTCCCACTTGTCGACTGTCTGCATGTGCACACAGAGCCTTCCTTACCTGAAGGCCTGATTCTCGCGGTTGTTCTGGAGGGCGATGGTCTCCACCTCAGGACCCCCGTCTGCTATGAACCTGGCTAACTTTTCTGCAAGGTTCTTGGCCTCTTCGTCCTCTGGGGGTGAAACTTTAAGCAGGCTGTCAGTACTGAGCTCAACTCACCACACCCAACAGCCTAACTCCTGCTAAAGAGCCCCGCAGGAGCGAGTGGGGCTTGTCTTAGGAACAGTGCAAAGAGAGACAGGCAAACGGGAATCAGATTATTACAGGGACCAAAACCAGAGAAATATCACAACTATACAATCCCACCCCACCCCAAAAGCACAGGACCCTGGAAGGCTCACCCTCCTTTCCTGGGGAGGACAAAGAGGAAGTCTGCAGTGATTCAAACATGTTTCCACACATCAGACTTCTGCTGTCCACCAGAGCCCTGACCCAGAAACCCATCCCATCCATCTCCTGCTGTTTGTCCCCAGTCTACCTGCTTGGGCGCACACAAAGCTAAAGCTAACCAGAACTTGTCAGAAAGACAATGGAATGCTCCCTTGGCCCATTTCTATGTTCTAATGAGCATCTGGACAGAACCCCAGCCCCCATTAGGCACCTGACAAATCACAGTCCTACATCTTAGAGCCAATCCTGGTACTCAGAATTCAGCTGGGTCTGGGGACCAGAGGTGTGTTGACGCATCCCAAGAGCAACTCCCACTGCCCATGAGGGCACAGGTTTTGACTGCCAAATCCCACAGTGCTCTTTTTCTTCCTCCTCCAACCACTTACCTTTCTGAGCAGCTGCCTGTGGCTTTTGGGCTTCCTTCCTGATCTCAGCTACCTTCTTTCTGTAGTACAGGAATTCCCTGCTATTCTTATCATGTAAAAATCTGGAAAGGGGATTTGGAACATTGGAAAAGAGTTTCAATGATGGATGAGGCTGAGGCTCAAATGCAGAGCCCTCAGGAGGGCACATATAAAGTGCCCAAGGTTGGGTACAGCTCAGCAGCAGAGTGAGAACCTGGAGTCTACCCCCAGCACTCCCTTCCAAACAATTATAATAATCTCCTTTGGAGCTGGGGTATGGTTCAGTAGTAGAGCCCTTGCTTAGCACACGAGAGGCCCTGGGTTCCATCCCAAGCTCCAGACAGGTTTCCACCCTCGTATACATGACCATAGCAAATGTGTGAGCAGCACGGCACTAATACTGGTACTCACGTGAAGGCAGGGTTATCCTTGTAGTCCTCCATAGCTACTTTCTCTAGCTCAGGACCTCCTTCCGCCACAAAACGGGCCAGCTTCTCTATCACTCTCCGAGTCTCGGCTCCCTCTGGGGGTGAAACTTTAAGGAGGCTGTCAGTACATGGCTCCAACTCACACACCCAACAGTCACTAGGTACACTTTCTCTATAGACCACAATGACAAGGGAAGGGGAGGGGAGAGGAGCAGGAGATGCAGGCGACTGCTGACATTCCTGTACTTGACTCTGGAGAAAGCTTGGTCTCTACAGTCAGACAAGCTGGTGGGGACAGGCTGTCAGAGCTTTTGGCAGCGATTCATCTCCAGACTAAAATAGGACACTGAAAAGTGTAGATAGTCTCTAGTCTGTGTATGTATTAATTGTTTTAAGTACTTTAAAGAGTGTTCATGTATGAGCGTTTTACTTGCATGCATGTAAGTGTGCAGTCCCAGTGGAGGCCAGAAAAGGGTGTTAGATCTCCTGGAACTGTTGTTACAGTTATAAGATACCATATACGTCCTGGGAATGAAACCCAGATTCTCTGTAAAGAGTAGCTAGTACGCTTAACCATTGTCAGCCTCTACAGTTCTTTTGACAGTTTTCAGTATAAAAACTATCAGTTCCTTTGCATTCTTGGTCCCTAAACCCCACTCCCAGATTTTGTTTTATTTTTATTTTTTCTGATACAGTGTTTCTCTGTTTAGCCCCGGCTGTCCTGAAGTTTCAGGCTAGCCTCAAACTCAGAGCTCTACTTGCCTCTGTCTCTAGACTGCTGGGATTAGAGGTGCATGCCACCACATCCAAGCTGTTCCTTTTTTATTTTCTTTAGATTTTATTTTTATTTTATGAGCACTGGTGTTTTGCCCACCTGTATGTCTGCGTGAGGGTGCCAGATACCCTGGAACTGGAGTTACAGACAGTTGTGAGCTGCCATGTTGGTGCTGGGAATTGACCCTAGGTCCTCTGGAAGAGCAGCCTGTACTCTCTCCAGCCCCTGCCCCAACTGCTCCTTTTCATTCTTAAAAGATGACAAATTCTCTTTTATGTGTATGCAGGTGCAGATGAATGCAGGCAGATGTGTGTGTACGTGAAGATGAGGCCAGAGCATACTCTCCAGTGTAATTCCTCAGAACTGTCCACCTTTCTTCTTTGTCTTTTTACAATATTTCCTTATTTTATGTTTTATTGCTGTTTGGTTTTTGTTGTTGTTTGTTTGTTTTTGAGATAAGGTTTCTCTGTGTAGCCCTGGCTGTCCTAGAAAGGACTGCAGACCAGGCTAGCCTTGAACTCAGAGATCCACCTGCCTCTGCCTCCCAAGTGCTGGGGTTAAGTAAAGGTGTGCATTGTGCTGGAGACATGGCTCAGTGGTTAAGAGCACTGGCTGTTCTTCCAGAGGACCTGAGTTCAATTCCCAACAACCATACGATGGCTCACAACCACCCTCTTCTGGTCTGCAGGGACACATGTAGGCAGAACACTATATATAATTAATGAATCTTTTTTAAAAAGAAAAGAAAAGAAAAAAAAAAGGTGTGCGTCACCACTGCCAGCTTTATGTTTTTAAGTGTTTTGCCAACATGTATATCTGTGTGCTATGTAAACAGCTGTTACAAATGGTTGTGAGACACCATGTGGGTACTGGGAACCAAACTTGGATCCTCCCAAAGAGCAGCAAGTGCTCTTAACTGCTGAGCCATCTTGCCAAGTTTTTCTTTCTTTTTTTAATTTTAACTTCTGATTCAGGGTCTCTTCGGAGCTTGCCAAGTCCACCAGGTGGCTGGCTAGGGAGTTCTACCTGCCCCCACATCCCCAACACTGGCTTACAGAATGTGTCACCACATCCAACATTTTTTTTTCCTCTTCAGTGTGGGATTTTTGGTCAAATTTAGGGTCTCTATACTTACGAGCCACAGGGATACCACGTACTTTCCTGACAGAGCTATCTTTCTAGCTCTAATAATTCTCCTCTAAAAACTATCACACGCTCTGGACTGACACTGGGTGGACTTTAGTTCACTGTCTTGAAGTTGGCTCTCAAGCACTCTAGACATGATCTCTGGTGTTTCTGATGGACTGGCAGGTGATCCATTAGTCTCTTGAACCTTATGCACTCACAACCAGCCATATTTCTAAGTGGTCTGAGTTTGTATTGTTGGGAAAGTGTACTGCATCCTGCTTTCCGGGCATTAGCACACCCACTTCCTCATGCTCAATCATTCAATCACTATCTCAGAGACACAATGTAAAGTTTGTTTGTGTGTGTGTGTGTGTGTGTGTGTGTGTGTGTGTCCGGCCCCCAATAGGATTTCTCTGTGTAGCCGTGGCTGTTCTGGAATTCACTCTGTAGACCAGGTTGGCCACAAACTGACAGATCTGCCTGCCTCTGCCTCCCATGGGCTAGGATTAAAGGTGCACACCACCACTGCTAGTTGTTTTTTTTCAAGCACACTGACCCTGGACTAGTTTAAGCCTAGTCTTAAATTCCTGATCCTTCTGCTTCAACCTGCTGAATGCTAGGATGACAGACATGCATCACCATACCCCAGTTTATGCAGTGCTGGGAATGAAACCCAGGGAATCTACACATGCTAGGCAAGTACTTTACCAACTACACCACACCCCCAGCCTGAGACTATCTCTTTACAGTTGGATTAGCTGCCTGTTTGAGGCAGGTGGAACTTGATTTTGTATTTCTCCCTGGCCTAGTCCTGAGGCTGAGGCTGTATTGTCATGTCCTTTTATGAATGTCATAAAACAACACTGCAAGGAAAATACTGCACTGTTGGTGATGCCTGGCCATTAGAGCTTCACTTTCCTCTCACATGCACAGCAAGACTCCCGCCTGATCACTATGTATAGAAGTGTAAGGCCACATCAGTTGACGCCCAAAACAGGTGCTAAGGCTTTGAGATGAGCTGCGCCCCTTGTGAGGCATTAACATAGCATTGGCAAGGACTTAAAACCTAAGAAGGCATGCCTCCAACCTACTCTGGTGACCCTCATTCAGAACAGGCTGACACGGCATAGCTAAATGATCAATTTGATCTATGTCAGGGTGACAGGGTGTGCAGCCGGTTCTCCACAGGTCCTGCTGTCACAGACCCTTCTTCAGAATGATATAGAGCTCAGTCACTAGAAGAGAAATGCCACTGTCAGCCTGAAACCAGAGACTACCTTCCCCATGTGAGAGCACATTCTCCCATCTTTACATTCTGACCCTCTGGCCCTAAATGTAGACATAGTCACGAAGCTTCTGCCTCAGTTGACATGAGGCCCTGTCAAGGAAAACCTTGTATGATGAGCTGTGATACTGTTCTCAGAATGGGGCTAGTGTCCTTGGCAGGGCTCATCCAAGACTTCCCAGGATGACTCACTCTGTTCAAACCCCAATCACAGCACCTTGAGCCAGGCTCTGGCCACACCTGCCATGATAGTGGTAGAAGGAGCCATGGCCATCCTACAACTTACCTTTGATCTCCAGCCATTGCTCATAGTCCTCCTCTTCATCATCATCATCATCAGGGGATTGGAAAACGCTTGGACGGTGTGCAACAGGCAACTGCTTGGCATGTAAGTAGTTCTTCACAGGGCCCAGTGGGCTTCCCAGCCCCAGGCCTGTCCGCTTGCTGAGTAGGAGGGGTCTCTTCAGGGTGCTGGGTGCTGGCATGCTGGGAGGGGCACTGGGGAGAATATCTGGGCCAATACAAGAGAAAATACACATTGGAGATCTGCAGAGGGCAGTGATGTGGACACACCCAGAAAGTATCATCATGGCTACAGTCATCTTTGAGCATGCCAGGTTGTGCAGATGCACTCGACCTGTCTAGGCCAGAGAAAGTGGACTGAGGCACAGGAGAGAGGACATTCAGGGTGTCTAGCTGCAAGAGGATATGCCAGGGCTTGGCAGGTGGCAGCTCTTGCTGGATGTGCCTCCGTACACAATCAGAATGGAGAGCAGTGAGAGAGACAACAGCCTCCACATTCCATCCAGGTCACAGCCTCCTAAACTGGACCTAAGGACCTGAGGGTAAAGGACTTAAACAATGTGTCCTCCTCTGACAATGGCTGATTTAGTCTCTTTCAGTAACAATGAGCTCCAACTGGGGTGTATGGCTTCCTTGTATCTGGATTTTCACCCACTGGGGCAAGCTGGAAGATACGCTAGGTTACACATGGTCCTTCTCCTAAGACCCCACATGTGGACAGGACCAGGGGTTGAAGACCTGTAATTCCAGCAACTCTTGAGACAGCGGTGAAAGGTGGAATTCAAGGGCAGCCTGAGCAACTAAGTCTTGTCTCAAAATGAAAAGCTAAAACAGGGCTCTTCTGTGTGGCAAAACACTTGCTGAGCATGCATAAGGATCCAGGCTTGATCCCCAGCACTGCAAAATAATCATCATAATCCCGCGGGTACAATTAAACCCATGACAAGGCAGGGAACCAAGCTCCTTGGGGAGCAGCACTGTAGCACAACTGGGCACGTGGGCTACCACACTGGAGGCTCCAACCTTTAGCTTACTATCCAAAGCCTCAGTTCCCAAGTGTAAAACAGGAGTTCCTGGCTATGTGATGTTTCAGAAGCTGAACTCAGCCTGAGATCTGTAGGTACCCTCTGAATCTAAAGAGAACCCTCTCTCACCAAACACAAACAGTACCACAGTGCTAAGAACAGGATGGCCAAGACTGTCAGACACACCAGGTGCTGACCTTTAATCCTAGCACTCGGGAAGAAGAGACAGGCTCTGTGAGTTCGAGGCCAGTCTGGTCTACAGAGTGAGTTCCAGGGCAGACTCCTAAGCTATAGAGAAACCCTGTCTTGGAACAAAAAAAAAAAAAAAAAAAAGACTGTTGACTGTTAGACATCCTATCAGAGGTGGGTTCCTGTGAGATAGTGGATGGGCAGGGGGTTATGCCACAATTTCCTCCATGTTTTTCACTACTAAACAAAACAAACAAACAAACAAACAGATCAGGAGCTTGAGGGAGAGCTCAGCAGTTAAGAGCACTGATGGATCTTGTAGAGAACCTGGGTTCAGTTCCCAATACCCTTATCAGTGATCCTCTGGCTTCCAAGGGCTTCTACAACCACAAGATGCATGTGAACTCTTACAAATCCACAGAAATATAAATTAAAAATCAAATCTAAAAGTCTTAAATGAAATGAAAAATGCCAGGCAATGCACACCTTTTATCCCAGCAGTCAGGAGGTAGAGGCCAGGACATCTTTATGAGTCTAAGTCGAGCCTGCGCTACATAGTAAGTTCCAGGACAACCAGGGTTAACATATTGAGATTTGCCTTTTTTGTTATTGTTATCTATTTCAGATTTTTCATATGTTTGAGTGTTTTGTCTGCCACATATCTATGAACCATGTGCATGGCTGTTATCCCCAAGATAAGAGTGTGTTAGATCCCCTGGAACCTGAGTGGTTGTGGGCTACCATTGTGGTGCTGGGAAATGAACTTTGGTCCTCTGCAAGGGCAGCAAGTGCTCTTAAGAGCAATTTAAAACAGAGATTAGAAGGCAGTAGTGGGGGGGCTGGAGAGATGGCTCGGTGGTTAAGAGCATTGCCTGCTCTTCCAAAGGTCCTGAGTTCAATTCCCGGCAACCACATGGTGGCTCACAACCATCTGTAATGAGGTCTGGTGCCCTCTTCTGGCCTGCAGACATACACACAGACAGAATATTGTATACATAATAAATAAATAAATAAATAAATAAAAAAAGAAGGCAGTAGTGGCTCATCTCTTTAATTCCAGCACTCTGGAAGCAGAGGCAGGCTGATCTGAGATCAAGATCAGCCTGGTCTACAGAGTGAGTTCCAGGACAGCCAAGGCCACACAGAGAAACCCTGTCTTGAAAAATAAAAACAAACAAAAAGATCAGAAGTAAAAACAATGGGATACCAAGACTATGGATTCAGGTACGAGATACAAGTTTTATCAACTTTCAAAGAGACATGGCAGCAGGGGTGACAAGTATCTTCTGCCTACAGGCTATTATGAAGGAAGATGAGTGATAGGGCAAGGTAGTGGCCTGTATGGTGCCAAGTGCAGGAAGCACTGGCTAGAGATGGCACTCAATAAACTGTGAACATGTAATTAGGTGGCTTGGTCACTTCTAGGATGCCTCCTTGTCCTGCACCATCCACAGCAGGCCTAAATGTGTCATCTTCTGACATAACTTGGATATCTCAAGCCAGACTAATGCTGGAGTACAACTGACCCTCACCCCAATGGGAATCCTCTAGACCCATTATGCGACATGCAGAAACCTTACCCATCTGGTGGCAGCCTGTCTGCCATTACACAGGAGAACATTGAGGGCACTTAATGGTCCAAGGTGGGACCTGTCATTCCTGTAATGTTCCAGGAAACATGGGGGACAGAGGCTGGGGTGAGAGGGCTGGCTGTACTCACCTGTGTTCGCCTGTGCCTTCTGCAACTTCAGAAACTGCTGCAAGAAGCTGCCATCGTTGGCAAACTTGTTGGAGATACAGGAGTTATGTGCATTGGCAATTCTAGAACCAAAGCATGGATGAGAGTGAGCTGTAGAGGAAACAGAGTGCCAAGGAGAGGGCTAAGGCACTGACATTCCTGGCCCTACACCCATCATGTGTTCTTCTGCTAAAGAGAGCCAGACTGCAGCCCCAAAGATGTTGGGGGACAATGGCTATGTGCAGGGAACACTCATGTATATAGTAGGCCAACACCACTTTTGCCTTGGTGAAAATAAGAATGCATACATTTCGGTTATCTTGGCTTGAATTCCAGCCCTGTGATCCTAGTGGGCCCCATCAATATGCTCTTTTTCTGCACGGCATTATATCCTACTGGATTAATTACGACCTGGCTTATTGTTCATCATGTATTATAGTTACCTCTAATGCAGGAAGTGCATGCATCTTGTGACTTTAGTTTTTTTGAGACAGAGTCTCTCTGTGTAACAGCCCTGGCTGTCCTGGAACTCCTTCTATAGACCAAGTTGGCCTCAAATTCAGGGATCCACCTGGCTTTGCCTCTTGAGTGCTAGGATGTATACCTAGGTGTGTATCAAGGTGGGTGGTGGTGGCGCATGCCTTTAATCCCAGTACTCGGGAAGCAGAGGCAGGTGGATCTCTGTGAGTCTGAGACCAGCCTGGTCTACAGAGCAAGTTCCAGGACTGGTTCCATAGCGACTAAGAAATCTTGTCTCAAAAACTCAAAAAGAAAAAAACAAAAAAAGGTTTGCACAACCATGCCCAGTTTTGCGGTTTTGTTTGCTTTTGTGACAGGGACATGGCTGACCTTTTAACTCCTGATCTTCCTGACTGTACCTCCAAATATAGAGACTGCAGATAACTACCACTAAACCTGACTATTTTTTCCCCCTTAAAACTGTGTCTCACTATTCTGGGTGGGCCTAGAACTCACTATATAGCCCAGGCTGGCCATAAACATGCAAAGACCTCTTTCCTCCTTCTTCGAAGCATGGGATTTGTACAATTTGTAACTGGCATTAGTGTGTATGGCCCACATATGCATACTCTGGCAGAAGCTTCGATAAGTCACACAATCACAGGGAACACCCACAGCAAATGCCTGGTGAGAACTGAAGGCACCTGCTATATATTGTGCTGTAGTAGCTTGCTCCTTATCGTTTGAGAGACTGTGTCATTCTGTAGTCTCCCTGTCTCAGTTGCCTGAGTGCTGGGATTTTATGCAGAAACATCTACCTGGAAAAAAAAAAAAAAAGAAAAAAAAAAACCAACAAAAATTTTCTGTGTCCAGCTCTTGTAGACCAGTCTGGTCTCAAACTCACAGAGATCTGCCTGCCTCTGCCTCCCGAGTGCTGGGATTAAAGGCATGCGCCACCATCACCCGGCTTTCTGTGTCTTCTTTAGGCAGTGCAACAGCTGTACCTTATGATCCTGCTTCTTGGTAGGCTTAGGCAGCAGGATGACCTGAGCCCAGAAGGAAATAATGAACTGCCATCTCAGGATGAAGAGAACTGGAGCTTAGCGTTTGTAAGGCCTGGTAGTCTACCCTAAGCATAAACATTGTAACAATTAGCTGTTAGAAAAGCACCCCAAAGGGCTGGAGAAATGGCTCAGCGGTTAAGAGCATTACCTGCTCTTCCAAAGGTCTTGAGTTCAATTCCCAGCAACCACATGGTGGCTCACAACCATCTGAAATGAGATCTGATGCCCTCTTCTGGCCTACAGGCAGACACACAGACAGAATACTGTATACATAATAAATAAGTAAATAAATAAACAAATATTAAAAAAAAAAAAAGGAAAACACCCCAAGATTTATATGGCTGTTAGGGTTGAATGACATTGGCTTTTCTTTGTTTCTTCAATTTTTCTGATTTCATATCATGCACATAAATGATTTTAAAATATTTTTAAAGGGGTTAGAGAGTTGGCTCAGTGGATAAGAGCATTTGCTATTCTTGCAAATGACCTGGTTTGATTCCCAGCATCCACATGGTAGCTCACATCTATTACTCCAGTTCCAGGAGAGCTGATGTCTTCCTCTTCTGACCTTCTCAGGCACTACGCATACACGATATACAAACATAAATGAATGTAAAACACTCATACACACAAAATAATTAAATAAATATTTTCAGAAAGAATTTAAAATTTATTAAATAATATTTATTTATTGTATGTGTGTGTATAGTTCTGTGTACCATGGCACATGTGGAGGTCAGACAACTTGAAGGATCTAAAAGCTATCAGTGTGTACCAGGGATTGAACTCACCTAGGTCACAGGCTTGGCAACAAGCATCTTTACCCACTGAGCCATCTTGTTGGTTCACAGGTTCTTACCAAGTTTAACAATGAAAAGGTCCTTGGTCGCTTCTTGGTTTTAATATCAAAACAAAAGCAAAAAGTCAAAGCTTTCTGATACACCAAAGAAGACTCTGCTCAGAAAGCAGTCTCCCGCTTAGTGGCTGAGGCCCTGGAGGACCATAGTCAGACCCTGGCATTGTCCTCACACTACTCCTGCACCTAGGTAGAACTGCTTGGCACCTGCGTGGGACACACAGTCCTGTTAATGATCACTAGATGACTAGAGAGACTACTGCACACAGATGCCAAGCAATCACCTGTCAATGTGTTGCTTAGTGAATATGTAGAGAAGATAAAACTCAGCTGCTGAGACTGTGTGATCCCAAAACTCAGGAGCGATGTAAGGAAACCTTGCCTCAAAAACTGGGACAGCTCAAGTGAGTGGGTGTCACATGAAAGTGAAGACTGGAGTTCCATTCTCAGAATCCATGTGAAAAGCTTTAATCCCAACACTTAGAAGGCAGAGGCAGGTGGATCTCTGTAAATTCAAAGCCAATCTGGTCTACAAAGCAAGTTCTAGGCCACCCTGTATCAAAATAAAATAAAATAAAATAAAATAAAAATAATGCCACTCATGCTTATCTGAAAAAAACCCCGTCTTGAAAAACAAAAAAGACAATCAAAATATAAACAACTCCAAAGGAAAGATACCCAAGGTTGTCCCCTGGTCTACACATGCATACATACATAAATACAAACTAAAATTTAAAATATAAAAAGCACATACAAGTTTAGTATACATATGATGCCCCTTCATTTTTTCCCATTTTCATAGATGTAACACAGGGCCTCAAGTAGGCTAGGCAAGCACTCTACCACTGAGTCATACCCTAATCTGTGAATAGACTTAATACCACTGAACTATGGTGACAATAGCCATGCAAGGTTTATCGGCCCCTAATCCAACCACACAGGATCATGAGGGGCTTTTGTTTTCTGAAACAAGTTCTCATACAGATCAGGTTGGCCTTGAACTTAACAGACAGCCATAAATGACCTTCAGTTTGGGATGTTCCTGCCTTTCCCTCTCAAGCTCTGGGTTCACAGGACGAAGCACGACCCTGGAGCCTCTGCACACTAACCCCCACTTTTGTTGTCACACCATCTTGCATTCTGTCGCACTCAGACTCTGCTGCCCTAAACCTCAGAATCCACTTACTCCCCAGGATGAGGGGGCTGTGGACTGGACGCATGACTCTGTCTGGCTTTCTGTTCCATTCTGGCCTCGATCTCCCTCTTCTTCTGAGCGATGAGTTCTTCCTGGTGGAGGATGTTCATATTCATCTTTCCAGACTTGGGCTGTGCCATCCCGAACCAACGATTAGCCTTTCCTGGGGAAAGACAGGGATCAGAAAACACTTTTGCTCTATTTTCTAACAGCAATGATGGACCAGACAACTACAAACACTCAGGGGACTCAAATGGTCACTTGTTCATTTCTTCAACAAACGCTTACAGAATAATCTGTCATGTATATAGCATTGTGCTAGGCTCTAAACAGAAGTGATGAGGACTCTGTCCAGGTAGGACTCACCTCTGACTTTGAAGGCAAGAGGCATAACATGAAAAGTTAGCTGGAAGGTTGGTAGCAGGCTGAGGAAGAAGGCCAGCCTCATCTACACAGTAAAACCCTGCTGCAATGCTGAAAACATAGCTCAGTTTGTGGACTGTGTGCTTAGGATAAATGCCTGGGCTGCACTCGCACAAGTGTATAAACCAGGTGAACGGTACGTATCTATAACCTCAGCACTCAGGAGGTTAAGGCAAGAAGAAAATAAGTTCAAGATTGGGGCTGGAAAGATAAGAGCACTGATTGTTCTTCCAGAGGACCCAGGTTTAGTTCCAATGCCCATATGTAGGCTCACAAACAATAGTAACTCCAGTTCCAGGGGATCTGACTCTACTCTAAAAAGAAAAAAAGGGGATATAGATAAAAAGGTAGACTACTGAATCTACTTTTAAAAAGCAACTACCAGTTTTAAATGCTTTATATTATATTGAACTTTTATATAATATATACAAATTTTGTATATTGAGATTAATTTTGTTAAAACATACAGCATATACATTTTTACTATACAACACATTTAACAATGTAATGCAAATTTCTAGTCCTTGAAAGTTATTATTACCAACTCTTTAAGGATAATAAAGAAATACAGGCTAGTAATTAGTCACCTATTATAACTGAACTTGCAGTACATTAGGTATATTTTCAAGGTCAAACAAAGATTTTAGAAAAACAGATCATCTTCAAACAGATCTACATTTAAGATGTTTTAATAACATTGGCTCCTTTTTATGACAATGAGGCATGTCTGGCAGCAACAATCTACTTCAGAAAAGATAATGGGCATCGAAAAAATGCCACAGAGTTTTACTTTCTTTGTAGCAAAAGAAAACCACTGGGCAAGAAAACACCCTTGCCTCGACTGTTGACAGTATGCTTGTCAACTGGACAAGCAGGACACAAAACAAAGTGACTTGCCTAACATTGTTAGACCTTAGAATATCCTGCTTCACAGAAAAGTCTGTCAGACATGCTAGGCCTGTAGGCGTAAGATGGATGTCCAACATTGCAGAGGAACTTTGGGTGACTGTCCAGGCAGCCAGCTGTTTCTGTCATTTCTCACATTTTTTGGAAGTCACTTGTTAGCACTTGCTTACTAGGTTATTATTATTTCCTTCTTCAGTCTCTGATAGAGTGGAAGACTAGATAGTTATAGTTTCCCCTGTTTACCAGACGCAGAAAACAAGTTATGATAGAAAATAAATTAAGTACAAGACTAGATTCACCAAGATAGGGCAGATATCAAGTATTTTCTCTGAATTTGTCAAAAGCAAATGGAGGGACTGGAGAGATGGCTCAGAGGTTAAGAGCACTGACTGCTCTTCCAGAGGTCCTGAGTTCAATTCCCAGCAACCACATAGTGGCTCACAACCATCTGTAATGAGATCTGGTGCCCTCTTCTGGCATGCAAGCATACATGGAAGGAATGTTGTATACATAATAAATAAATAAATCTTAAAAAAAAGCAAATGGACTAGACAGTTTGATGTTCTTATTGCCTATATATATATATATATATATATATATATATATTGTACTTATCGCATAGTTTTTCTATATTAGTTATAGCTTTCTTTTTTAGACAAAAAATGGGAAATATCGTGATATTTTATTTATATTTTAATAAGTAAAGATTGACTAAAGATCAGGAGGGCAAAGCTAAGTCACTAGAGGTTAGGCAGTGGTGGCACACACCTTTAATCCCAGGATTTGGGAAAGATGCAGATGGATCTCTGTGAATTCAAGGTCACCCTGGATTACACAAGATCATTGCTGAAAACAAATCCAGGTAGTGTAGGCGCATGCCTTTAATCCCAGCACTAGAGGAAATATAAAATAAGATGAGAGAGAGGTTTAGTCTGTGGCCTCCCAGCCTTGGTAGAGGTAAATTTTCTCTAGTGGTTTGGCTGCTTTGCTTTTCTAGTCTTCAGGCTGTACGCCAATACCTGTCTCTGGGTTTTTATTATTCGTGCTACACCTGACACCCTATCTTCCACCTTGAGACATAGGTTCTTTTTTTTTTTTTAAGATTTATTATGTATACAGTGTTCTATGTGCATTCATGCCTGCACACAAGAGAAGGTATTAGATCTCATTATAGATGGTTGTCAGCCACCATGTGGCTGCTGGGAATTAAACTCAGGACCTTTGGAAGAACAGGCAGTTCTCTTAATCTCTGAGCCATCTCTCTAGCCCAAAACATAGGCTCTTGATGCTCACAGCTGTACATTCCAGGCTAGGTCCTTTGTAAGCTTACAGGGAACTTCCAAGAGGCTTTGCCTCCTATCTCCTCTGGTAATAGGAGCATAAGGATTACAAAGTGTGTTATAAGGCAGCCATGAGTTCTGGACATCAAGTTCAGGTCCTCATATTTGCATAGTAAGGATATTATCCAGTGATCCATCTCTTCAGCCCTCTATAGGTAGTTTATTTGAATTTATTTATTTAGTTCTCATATAGTTCAGATTTATCTCAAACTCACTGTACAACCAAAAATAATGTTGAACTTCCTATCTGTGCCTCAAAAGCAATGGTCTGGGGTGCAGGCTTCAAACCTGTAGCTGTTTAGTGACAGAGTGGTTCAATTCAACCTTTTGGGAGGGAGTATCTATTCCATTTTGCTCCCTGCAAATCACACTCTTAAGTGATAAACATCTCTAAATCCTCCTCTATCTCTGTGATTTCAAGGCCAGCCTGGTCTACAAAGTGAATGCCAGGACAGGCTTCAAAGCTACACGGGAAAAACCTGTCTCGAAAAACCAAAACCAAAACCAAACACACAAAAAACAGTGGTTCTCAACCTTGGGACTGAAACCCTTTTGGGGGTCAAATAACCCTTCTACAGGGGTCGCATATCAGGTATTTGCATTATGATTCATAACAGTAGCAAAATTACAGTTAAGAAGTAACAACAAAATAATTTTATGGTGGGGAGCCACCACAATATGAAAACTCTATTAAAGGGTCACAGCTTTAGTGCTTTGATTATAAGCATGTGTTACCTCAGCCAACTTTTTTCTTTTTCTTTTTTTTGTTTTTCGAAACAGGGTTTCGTTGTAGCTTTAGAGCCTGTCTGTAGACCAGGCTGGCCTCGAACTCACAGAGACCCGCCTGCCTCTGCCTCCTGAGTGCTGGGATTAAAGGTGTGCACCACCACCGCCAGGCAGTGCTTTTTTTCAATAATTTATTATTATGTATATAGAGTTCTGCCTGCATATATGCCTGTATACCAGAAGAGGGCACCAGATCTCTTTACAGATGGTTGCTGGGAATTGAATTCAAGACCTCTGGAAGAACAGTCAGTGCTCTTAACTGCTTCCAGCCCTGGTTTTAGATCATTCTGACATACAGAAAGTGCACAGAAAGAAAGATGACCAAGACAAATTGCTGGGTTCAAGCAAAGATGACAGTACCAAATGTGGTACTATACCGCAGCCATCCAAAGTCAGGAGGTGCGTGCTTTCCAGACAAGCAGGGGCTTAGTGAGACTTTGCTTCATTGAACTGGTAGCACAGCCTTTGTATCTCAGCACTGGGGAGGTAGAAGCAGACACGTCTATGTGAGTTCAAGGCCAGCCACAGCTATGTAAAGAGACCGTGTCTCAAAGCAAAAACAAAAATAGCGTTGCAGTCCAAACGTTCCCAGGGAAATTCTATTTTTTTCCTAATTAAAAAAAATTATTTTAAGTTCAAGGCCAGCCTGGTGCCTAATTATGAAAGATTGCGAGCCAACACATGTGTGCCAGGAATCAGACTTAGGTCCTCTGCAAGAACAACAACGCTTTTTTTTTTTTTTTTTTTGGTTTTTCGACAGGGTTTCTCTGTGTCACAGTCCTAGCAGTTCTGGATCTACTTCTGGTAGATCAGGATGGCCTCGAACTTACAGAGATCCGCCTGCCTCTTCCTTGTATAGACCTGGCTGGTCCTGAATTCCGAGGTCCACCTGCCTCTTCAGGTGTTGGGATTAAAGGTGTACACCACTGCTTCTGCCTCTGCCTAATATTTTGGGACAGAGGAGCTCACAGAACCTTGAGCTCTCTGTTTCAGCGAGACTCTGCCGCTAAGCCCCAGGAGCCCACAATGTTGTAGTTCCAACTAGATTTTACACGAGTGTTGGAGATGGGAAGCCTGATCCTCCTAACTGGGCAGCAAGCACTTTAACCACTGAGATGTCTCGACAGCCCTACAGTTGCAAATGTTGAAAGCAAAGCTGATTCCCCAGGCACTATCACAGCTGGTTTCCCTGGTCATCTCCATTTCTTTATGACAATTCTAGTTCACTCCAAGGTCTATCCAACTCCTTTGGGGGAAACCTCTGCCATCCCATAGATAACACTTCAAACACCTGTGCTCAAGAGAGGCCTTTCATGGACTTGGAGAGATGGCTCAGTGGTTAAGAGTGCAGGCTGCTTTTGTAGGAGCCTAAAGTTGAGATGCCAACAAACATCCAGGTGGCTTACTATAACTCTAGTTCCGGGGGATCCGAAATTCTCTCTAGTCTCCGTGGGAACCCACACGCGTACTCTCACGCATAGACATAAATAAATACAAATAAGTAAATAAATAAAACTTAGAGCCTTCCCTGGCCTTCAGTGTATTAGCAGCATCCAAGCCAGACCTCGTCACCAGAACTAGTTCTTTGTGAAATCTGCTCCCCGGTGCTTGGCACACAGGACTTGTGGAAGCAGACGGTGAAGGGTCAATGCATCTTGTCCTAGAGGCATAGGGATGCTAGCCCCGTGGCCAAGTGGGCTTCGGTAGTATGCGAGATTGTGCCCTCCCTGGCAGCCCCGCTGCAATTCTGAAACACAGATTTTTGTTTTTCGACAAAGCAGAACCCAAGCCAAAGGGAAGCTGCCACTGAAGGCAGCTCCTCGGCAAGGCAGTCCTCGGCTGGCCGCTATGGGTGGCACCGGCCCGAGAGCAGGCATTGGGAAAGCCCGCGCGGGGCCCACCCGGCGCCTAGGCCTCTGGGGAAGACACGGGATTCTCCTCAGCCCCGGGTGAGCGGTCAGGAAGCCGAGTCTGGGATCTCGGGCGACGAAAGGGGTACACACGCCGTTTACCGCAGGCTGCCGAGGGGCTGAGGCAAAGAGTCCGCGTGTCAGGTCTGCGACAAAAAAGAGAGTGAAGAGGGGAACGTGCAGCCGCGGGAACCCAGGCGAGAGCCGGAGAGAAGACGGGGGCTGTTACCTGCAACATCCCGGTTGTCCATCTTGAGACTCATCCAATCCCACAATGCTCCGGCGCCACCTGAGAGGAGGGAGACTCAGTTATAGTGCGCTTGGTCTGATGGGAAATGTAGTCTTCCTCCGTCGATCACGTCCAACCCCTTCTAGGACACCAAGAAACTTCTCCACAAAAACTTTGGCGTCAGTTCATGAAGGTGTGTCACTCTCAGTCGCGATGATGCAGAGGCATCGTCCAATCCTCAGATTCTCCCTCAGTCGCAGCCATTGCGAATATACACTGTAAATCCCAGAATACCTTGCGCAGAAGTTATCGCGAGAACCTCAAGGAGAGCCAGGCTCCGCCCCTCGAAATGCTTCCGCCTCTCTGTGAAATCAGCTTGTTGTTGTGCAGGCCAAGATGGCGGCACAGGCGGCGGCTGCAGCGCAGGCGGCGGCGGCTGCGCAGGCGGCCGCGGCTCAAGCAGCGCAGGCCGAGGCAGCCGAGTCGTGGTATTTGGCTCTCCTGGGGTTCGCCGAGCATTTCCGCACGTCCAGCCCGCCCAAGATCCGCCTGTGCGTTCACTGCCTGCAGGCCGTGTTTCCGTTCAAGCCGCCTCAGCGGATCGAGGCCCGTACGCACCTGCAGCTCGGCTCGGTGCTTTACCACCACACGAAGAATAGCGAGCAGGCGCGCAGCCACTTGGAAAAGGCGGTGAGCGGGCGGGCCGGCGGGCGGGCCGGGGACGCGGGGGCGACCCTCTCCGCCTCCACCGGATTTGGGGCTCCCGAAGGCCTCGCCCTCACCTGTGGTGACAGACAGGACTCCGCCACGCCCTCTCAGCGAGGACGGGGGAAGTTGTCCCTTAGCAAGGACGGGGTTCCCGCGTCGGGGATCTCGTTTGGGTCGCAGTGGGATCGTTGCCCAGAGCGTCAGCCTGGAAGCTCGTTCCTGGTCCCTGGACTTGGAATTGTGCCCCTCAGCTGTCTGGGTCTCCAGTCTGTCCTTTGTGCCAAGGCTACTGGGGAAGCTGAGACCCTGCCCGGGGTGGGACATTGTTGTCCTGTGAGGAAGCGAAGGATGTAGATCCGGAGTCGTTGCTCCACAGGGGTCTGAGGTCGGTCCCGCCGTTGGTGCTGCCTTTTCTGGCCACGTAGTGCTCTATCTTTGAAGGAGTCCCCACTCACCTCCAGCTTGTTTTGTGACAACTTGGTGCTTCACAGAATTAGAAGAGGTAGCTGTCATTCCTCTCCTCAATATACTCCATGGCTATAGACATGTTTCTTCTCATAGAAACCGTCCCTTTCACACCTCCGCCTCCTTTCTGCCGTTCACCTATTTCTGTTCTGATTGACAGAGCTCCTTGGGTCATCTCGGATCTTTAAATATGATGACCCGCAGTCAGACTAAGTCAGACTAAGGAAATTGGCTTCAGGAGGGGTTCAGAATCCTTGTTTCCCAGGCTGTACACTTCTAATCCTCACTGACAACTTCCTTTTTTCCAGAGTGAAACAATACAGTGAGGTGATATGATTTAGCTAAGGTCACCCCGTGAGGTTTTCTTTTTGTTCATGGGGGTGAGGGTGGGTCTTACTATGTAGCACGGAATGGCCTCAGAATTCCCAGCAATCAGGTATTGAGATTCCAAATATAGTTGCTCATGCCTAGAATGTGAGCACTCACGGTAGAGGCAGGAGAATGATAAACACAAGGCTAGCCTGGGCTACGTAGCAAGACTGCCTCAAATAAAGAAAGTAGGTCTGGCTAGAAGATTCAATGGTTAAAGGCTTTTGCAGCACAAGCCTAATAACTTGGATTCAATCCTTAGAACCCACGTTGGAAGGTGAGAACTGACTCCCAAACGTTGTCTTCTGACCTGAACATGTGCCTGTACTCATACACACACACAAATAATAAAATTAATTTTAAAAATAAAATGCGCTGGGTGTGGTGGTGGAATCCTCTAATCCCAACACTTTAGGAGACAGGCACACAAATCTGAGTGTTGCAGAACATCCAGGGCTACATAGAAGACTCTGATGATGAAGGAAACAAAACCTGGAGCCGGGTGGTGGTGGTGCACGCCTTTAATCCCAGCACTTGGGGAGGCAGAGGCGGATTGATCTCTGTGAGTTCAAGGTCAGCCTGGTCTACAGCGTGAGTTCCAGGACAGCCAAGGCTGTTTCACAAAGAAACCCTGTCTCAAAAATATCAAAAGAAAAGAAAAGAAAGAAAGAAAAAAAAGAGAAAAAAATCTGGGCTCAAATTAAATTTGTGAATATCTTAAAGATTTAATTATTTTTAATTATATGTGTGAGTATATGCATATAAATGTTGTGCCCACTGAGGTCAGAGGCCTTGAGTCCCCTGAAGCTAGAGTTAGAGTCAGAGTCATATGTGAGCTGCCTAATGGAAATATTGGGAAGAGAACTTGGGTCCTATGAAGAGCATCGTGTGCTGTTAAACTGCTGAGCCATCTCTCTAGCCCTTTCAGTTTAATGATCACCAGTTCCCATACTAGACCAAGATAGCGATTATTGTGTTAGTGAAGTTTTTTGTTTTGTTTTTATTTTTGTTCTTTTGTTTGCTTTTTCTTTCATTCATCAAGAAGCTTCTTGTTCCCCTTGACGTGAAGTGTCAAGCCTGTTTTGGACTCTGGGTATTAGCTAACTGAAACAGTCACTACCCATGTAAGCTTTTTCTTTAGTGAGACTAGCAGTCAATAAACCTGATAGTATGAGAGCTGTGAACTGGACCACAGGAAGTATAGAGTTGATGTCGGCCCGTTGGGACAGTGGGTATGCGGGTGTCTCTTATTTGGATGAGAGTGACATTTGAATGGTGCAAGCCAGTGAACCCACTCTGAGATTCAGGTCAGTAACAAGGAATGCATGTGGCCAGCAGTGGATTGGAGAGGCCAGGGCAGTAGTGAGTAAGGTGACCCTGCCAAGAGCCAGGCTTTAGTGTAGGTGCAGACTGGAGGTTGCCAGGACATGGCTGCTTCTAAAACTTTTCTTTCTTATTCAGAGCAGCTAATCTCACCACCTCCCTCCCTCCCTTTTTTCCTTGGGTGTCAATGTATCCTGTATTCCATCCACTCAGCCTGTGCCATCATGCCTGCAGTTGCTCTCTTTTAGCTCTTGGCTTTGAGAGTAGTACCTGAAACACTTGTGAAGTGCTTTCCTTTGCTGTCACAAAAACCTGACTCCTGAGGGGTCTCCCACAGAATCATATGGTGCCCTTTATAGGAAATCCTGTTAATCTCTACTACTCCTCCATTCAAAATCTGAGTGAGTTTCATTTAAAGTGGCATGTATAACCCCTTTTTCCCCCTTGAGTGACCCATGGACCCTGTCCGTAAGCCACTCTGGTCCTAAACTGTATCACCAGCCTCTTCATTTATTCTCATTGCACTTTCCCCAAAGCACAGCTATGGGCTTTATTCTCTTCTCTCTTGGACCCACTCGGTAAAGAGTACTAGCATGAATCACACACAGACCATAGTCAAGCCACTTAGAGCCCTGAAATTGGGATTCAGTGAGCCCAGGAATTCCAGGTTAGCCTGAGCCACACAACAAGATGCCCTTTTCTTTAAGAAACTAAAAGTGTAATTAGGTTCTTTTAGAAACCACACCTGGCTTTGGTTCTTAGGTTTGAAATTGTGTATTCTGTTCCCTTCTTCCCTTGCTGACCTTTGTCAGCATGGTCACACTGTAGCTAGTACCACCTGTTGACCCTCTCCTGTAAGTACCCTTTAGCAGATATCTCTCAAGTATTAAGTACAATACTGCAGTGCTGCATCCAGCAGCTCATAAATAGGTACCTGATGTCTAGTCACAGCCCCATGTCATTCAGTCACCTTATCAACAAAGTATAGTACAGCAACAAGATACGGTAAGTTTGGAGCAATAAGGTGGTGGTGGCACATTCCTTTTTCCCAGCACTTGGGAGGCAGAGGCAGGCTGGTCTCTTTGAGTTTGAGGCCAGTCCTATGAGTTACAGGACAGCCAGAGCTATAGAGATTTATTTATTATATACACAGTATTTTGCCTGCATGTACACCTGCACACCAGAAGAGGGTACCAGATCTCATTACAGATGGTTGTGAGCCACCATGTGGGTGCTGGGAATTGAACTCAGGACCTCTGGAAGAGCAGCCAGTGCTCTTAACCTCTAAGCCATCTCTCCAGCCCCTCTCCTTCAGTTTTGAGACAGGAATGAAAACGGAACCTGGAGCTAACCAGTTGGCCCAGATATCCTCTTGTCTCTGCTTCCCAGAGCTGGAATTTCAGGACTGAAGCACAGTACCTTGTTTATGTGGGTGCTGGCTGTCAAAACTCAGGGAGTACTTGCTAAATGAACATCATCCAACCTTCTTTATTTAATTTGTAGTGCTGTGGATTGAACCTAGGTTCTTGTTGCACATTGAACATGCATCCTACTGTGTGCATTCTACTCCTAACTCTGCAACCTCAAACTTTGTTCTTTTGATCCCATAATCCCTTTTGTCTCTGAACCTGCAGTGTGCAATGCCATTCTTAGGTGCTCCCCATTTGGAAGCTGCAGAGAAGAGAGGAACTGTTGTTTTTTGATTCTACAGTTAGTCTTTGGCCTGGTTGAGGACACCCTGCTGATGACTGGCTTTGTGTGGGTTGCTTTATTAGGTGGAGTTGACCAAGATGGTCTCAATCACCTAGGCTTGAGTGACCTTCCTGGGCTTCCATATTAGGCTGTAGGTTTGTGCTGCACCTGCCCCAGCTGCTCTGTGATAATGTCTTTGCTCTTCTGACCTGGAAAACAACTCCAGTTCCACTGGTCAGGCACTGTTATTCTCTGATTGGCCTGAGAGTCTCTTCCCTCTCTTGATGCCTGAGGCTCAGATGGAGCAGCTCTTCCTCTCCTGGGTTTTGATCATACTAGATTCCATGCTGTATAGGCCTGGGATAGAAACTCATGCCCAGACTTCAGCTACCATACAGAGCAGCTCCATGGACAACAACCTGTGCTTCTTCCTGTTTTCTTTTCTGCTCTCTCCTCTCTCTCACTCTTTTCATCCCCTCTGACTTAAGGAACTAAAGTCAGCATCGCCTTTCATTCTGACTCCCCTGCTTGCCTCCTCCACATCATCTTCAGAATACTGTTTTTAGTGTTTATGTGTCAGCCCTGTGTTAAGCTCCATCTCACTAGATCCTCAGTGAACCAATGGGATAAAGACCTTATTTTCTTTTTCACATTAAGTGTGTGCATGTGTGTACACAGAGCATGTGTGCAGGTCAGAGGACAACTTGTGGAAGTCTGCTCTCTCAGGTGCTCAGGTTTGGTGGCAAGAACCTTTACCCAGTGAGCCATCTTGTCCACTCCTAT